CATCGTAGTCTGTTTAAATAAGTATCTTCGTAGTATGAAGATATTCGTAGCCGTTACGAATAATTTAACCATTCTGTCTCTTCTTCGAGAAAACAAAAATAACATGCTTCATTATAAATGTTAATTGAAATTCTGTACCTAATTATTTTTATTCTTTTAATTAATTCTAATTTTTTTTCCTACTGAAATATTTAATCACAGCATATTATATCAATAATAATATCAAGTAATTCTATTTTTTTTTAATTCACTTTATTGCTTGGGAAGCACATTTAATGTGAAACAGGGTAAAAATGGTTATACATATATTTGAGTTTCGAATAAATACCCACAGTTTCAATAATGGAAAGTCTTTGTCTTTTCCTCGACCCACACAACGAATCTTTTACTAAAGCTAAGGAGGCGGAAAATGCGAGGCTCCGCCGGCGGCGGTTCGGAGGATCGGCACTTCGGCAGGCTCCAACGACCACCTTTAGGGACCGTTTACGGAATCGCTTCTGTCGGTTAGGATGGGTTTACACCGAGTACTTATTGACGACTACGTGCCTAGATTAATAAAGTCTAGTCTAGACAGATAGTAAGCGCAACAAAGTGAGGCACTTCAAACTAGATCACTGGCTTCGCTTTTCCCATAAGTTTTCACAGTAAACAAAGTCAAACGTTAGTGAAATCGTATGTAGATGACTTTGATTGACATGATTTTTGCCTCACTTTGTATGACGACTATTCGTCTAGTCTAGAAGAAAGACTACATAAATGTAATAAAATAACTACAGGGTGTTAGGTAAATGGGTATATGAGCCGACACTAGCCCATGTTAACAGCGGCATATAAATGGTATGGTGAAGTCAGATCATGGTGCCCCAACAATATTGGTGTTATTTGAAAGCCCAATAAATATCCTTAAAGAAAAACACATTTAATTTCTTAATATACGATTAACATATACAATAAATGTGACTTGAAAAAAGACCTCACTTTGGGCTCATATGGGATTGGTTAAAGTTTCCAAACGAGACTCACTATTTGACTGATTTATTGAGAATACACTCTTTACATCAAGCGCTACAATTTCTGTTTACAAAAAGTTGAAATAAGTTAAAAATAAAATTTGCCACGAAGGTGACGATGAGAACCGTGGCGATGAGAAATACCCAGTTAGAAGGCTTTGGGCAGTTAACACCAATCAATTGACGTGCAACAAAACGCATTTTTCTAATAAGTAGGCAAACAATTATAAAAGTTTAGGAATGTATAATATTTTTTCCGCCTCTACATAAAATTTATGTATGTTTCAATCAATCATCTCAGCCATAGGACGTCCACTGCTGAACATAGGCCTCCCCCAATGCTTTCCATGTTGCCCGGTTGGTAGCGGCCTGCGTCCAGTGCCATCCTGTTACCTTTATGTATGTTTGAAAAGGAGGCTGACAATAGTGACTGAGTTTCTTGCGCTGCTTCTTCTTCTCAGCACTGGCCCATTTATTGTCCCGAAGCAGTGGTAGGATTAATATTGGGACGTGTTCGTTCGTTCGTTCGTTTCAGCCGAAAGACGTCCACTGCTGGACAAAGGCCTCCCCCAAGGATTTCCACAAAGACCGGTCCTGCGCCGCTTGCATCCAGGTACTTCCCGCGACCTTCACCAGATCGTCGGTCCATTAACGTTGGGACGTGTAAAGGTGCTTTTTAAAAGCCTATTTGCAAAAATAAATGAGTTTTGTGAGTTTTTTGTAAGTACGATTTAAGAAATACGTAGTTGTGCTTTGTTCATTATCGACTGAGTTGTGTAGTCACACCCTTATGTGTATCTCTGGTCAGTAAGGTTTGTTTGTTTAGCGAGATTCCTCCCGATGTCCTTTTTTGTCTGGCCGATAGCAAATAAAAGTTTTCGTGCCGTTTTCCTTAATTAAGCTTTATTGTAGCTTGCAGTAACTAAATGGCTTGCTCTGTTACTTGGGGGACCCTTTGTTTTTGTACAGTCAACAGCACATCAAACTATTTTTGTTGCAAACTCGCTCTTATTACAACTTCATGAAGGCACAGTGCTTAGCTTGACGTGCTGTCGTCCCTCTTAATGACTTAACTTTATCCATTTTTGGAAATAAATGAAATTAACATAATTAATTAACAAAAAGTAAGTAGGTAAGTATCAAATAAATTATGATGCGAAACATTTGCAACAAGGTTATAATAAGTAATGTAAGGTATACACCTAAATGCTCGGAAAGTGATAAAATATGTTACCTGTTTGATATACTCGTATTTTTACAAATACTTTCTCAAAAGTGTGATCTTTGGAACATCAATCACGTCTCAGACAAGCATTACATGTCTCACCTCCATCTAGTACCTACGTACGAGCTTTCAGGTGTGACATGTATGTTTATTAGAGGTTCTTAGTTTTATTTTGAGCAAGAATCTCGAGTTTATACTTTCACGACGAGTAGAGCTTGTAGCAAAATTCATCCAAAGTGGTTCGTTCGGTCCTCCTTTGAAGTACCATCATATTAAAGACTGACATTAAATAAATAATAATAATAAATAATAAATATCCTTGGACATTTTACACTACGCCGCTAGCCCCAAACTAAGCAAAGCTTGTACTATGGGTACTAGACAACGGATATAAACATACTTAAATACTTTTTTTTTGTAAATACATACATATTATACATAGAAAACACCCAGTCCAATACAAACAAATATGTTCATGCACACAAATGTTTGTACTGTGCGGGAATCGAACCCGCAACCTCCGGAATAGTAGTCCGATTCGAACCACTACACCAAACGGCCGACTGATTAAAGTACTTGACCTTCACTGGTTGGGTTTTATTGGCGGTCAAGTTGTAGATCCTACACAGGAATTGCAGTGGTGGGAAGAGTCCCGTGACATTAAAGATACAAAATTCCCATTTACAATATTAGTAAAGAAATGCGGAATCATTGTAGTTAATTCAAACATAGATTATTCATGTTATCCTAACGTATTTAACTAGTAAAAGATAACCATAATTGACTGTGGTACATAATTTGTAGCGAGATGTCGCCACTTGATGGTGCTCTTGATTTTCCGAGTAAATAAACGAGACTCGGCAAAGGTTTATCAAGCTGGATCAGACAGAACATGTGGGCAGGGCCGCAATCAGGTGTTATCTAATGGAGGGCAAATATTGAAATGCTAATTCGCAGTCAAGTAAGATTTACCTATATTTACACCCTATGGCTTGTTCTGCATAAAGTTGAACTTTGCGGATGACCATATTGAAATGAAATATCTATACTAATATTATAAAGCTGAAGAGTTTGTTTGTTTGTTTACTTGAACGCGCTAATCTCCGGAACTACTGGTCTGATTTGAAAAATTCTTTCAGTTTTAGATAGCTCATTTATCGAGGAAGGCTATAGACTATACTTACATCACGCTACGATCAATAGGAGCAGAGCAACAATGAAAAATGTTGCGAAAACGGGTTTTCACGCGTACGAAGTCGCGGGCACAGCTAGTAGTTTTTATAAGCACGGAATTATACATATATCTTCGAAGATAATATTGCTTTTGATGGCAATCACATGGGGTGGATCGGCTTCTTTTTTAATTTAAAACAATATAACAGACTTTAAACAGTGTTGTTAAGATACAACGTTATGTGTAAAGTTGGACAACGCTTAAGTGTTCAATATTACAGGCATAACCAACGTAATGGCGCAATTTCACTAGTCGATAGGGTCCGCATGCGGCGTGCGGGAGATTTCTGGAACGCATGCCACAGGGCCTGCAATTGGGGGAATCCCCGCATGCTGTATATACCGAACGAGTTATCGACTAATGAAAATGCGCCATAACTATCAATACCGATTTTTGCCAGATGACGTTTCAAAATCGTTCCACTAATGGATGTACCGAGATTGGTTATTTATTATGATGCTATTAAATAAACCTGACAATGTACATGTGTTGCCAGTCCGTCCCTGTACTCAGATACGAGGCGATAACGCGGTGACATCGCTCTAATGCGTTTACACAGATAGCGATGCGATTATCAAACCCGTGGGCGTCGCCAGAGGCCATCGTCTGAACAATACAGGGTATCCCAAAAAGTCGTGTCAAGCCGAAGCATCCATACTAGGGCTATCCAAATCACCCACATGTATGTTCCACGATTTTTGATAGTTTTCGAGTTATGATTGTTTTAAATTTCTGTGCTTAGGCACTTTTTTGGTCAATGTGGCGCGAATAGTCAAGTTACATGCCTGATTTTTTTATTATTATTAGATGAATACTAGGCCTAGCTGATTCAGAAATATTTACATCCATAACACTAATGTAAACTAAAATCCTGTATGTTGTAAATAAAAATCATAACTCGAAAACTACCAAAGTCACGGTGATTTGAGTAGCCCTAGTGATGCTCTACCTCTGGGCTTCGGCTTGACACTACTTTTTGGGACATCCTGTATATCAATTCATTATACCCACTGTATTCCTGCACATAATACGATGTATGTGATTTATTACCAGGCCAACATAAAAAGGAAATAAAACTTATTATGACAGCTACGGGTACGGCTACGAGGATCGTAGCCCACGCAATGTCTACGAAACTACGAGTACGAGCTACGCTACGACTCAACGTCTACGGAACTACGAGAAAGCGTCGTAGCACACCATGATCTAACTTAAATTAAAATTCACTTTCTTCTGTTTTAAATAATAAAAGTTACTTTTATTTCATTACAAAATCAGTAATTAGGTAATGAGGATCTTCCATAGGCATTTATGGGTGGAATTGGTACATATTTGGTGCATTATCCGTTATCCTAAACAGACTGGATTAAAAAAATAAGATTAAACACTATTGTTGTACTCTGACCGATTTAAATGTACACAATATCATGGTATCATAGAGCAAGTCTAATAAATGAATGAAAGTTTACTGGCCAGATAAAAAAAGTTTGTTTTAAAAAACATATTTTGACCGTCACTTGTTTGTCAACAGACGCGGGGGTGCGGCGAGGGCACGCGGGAGGGGGAGGGAGAGGAGGCGCGCCCCCCCGACGGAGAGCGGCTCCCCGGGGACGGAGCCAGCTGCTCCGCGCCCGACGACCAGGTAATCAGCAGGCCTAGTGTGAGTTTTCATCAAACGCGCGTCATTAAGGGTGGGTTGCACCATCTTACTTTACCTTTGACAAACGTCAATAATCTGTGAAACTCCATACAAAACGCACCGGTTATCGTTAAATTTACTGTCAAAGTTCGGTAATGCAACTCAGAGTAAAGGGTGGGTTGCACCATCTTACTTTATCTTTGACAAACGTCAAAAATCTGTCAAAGTCCATACAAAACGCACCGGTTATTGTTAAAGTTGGATTCCGTGGAGGGTAGTTGAACGGGAAGCATGGTCGATCTGTTTTAATGGTTTCAATTTATTATTTAATGGACTTTAGTGTACAAATTTGGTGTTATTTTGTGTTCTAAAGTGCAGTGAAGTGATAAATTATAAAAAACATTGAAATACTTCGAATTTGAGCGCGCATCGAGTGTCGAGTGGGTTGTCGTATGAACAACCCGCTTTGGACCCGGTGGCGTCTCGAAACCTGCTTACGGGCATACTTAACTCCACGGAATCCATGAAAAATCAATAGAACTGAAACACCCACGTTCTATTGATAACTATGTCAATATTTTTCACTCGACATTGGCAGAAATAAACCTCCCAGAGAGGTTTGATTGCCACAAATAAAAAAGTCAAAGTAAGTTAGTGCAACTCAGCCTAAATGTATGACGGATCGTACAGCGCCCCTAGTAGGAAACGTTCAAAAACTACATTTTTCATACATTTTTTAAACGCGCTCACTAGTTTGATGAAAACTCACACTCAGCCCACAGATCCAAACTTGACTGTTATTTAACGGATTAGATGTGAATAAAAGTTGACGCGTCTCCAAACAGGTGGTATAGGTATACTTGATAGTGACAGTAGACAATAGTGGAGATCCGAGGACCACTGCTGGTTTAAATCCCGCCGCTGCTGGGCTATTGTAGGATGATATGTCGCGTTTTTCCACATAAAGAAAATACACACGATTAATGTCACCTACGAGTGTAAATTAACATTGTTTTTATAAGTCGCCTGGCCAAATAATTCTTGAAGTAAAATCAAACAAAAATTACATATACCTAGTAAGTAAAAGAAAATTGTCGCGAGTATCTCTACATTATGTACTTTTTATATTATTACAAAATATTTTCCACATTTTCTTCTGAACTTTGAATACAAGCAATACAAGTAAGAACCTATCATAATATTCATAATGGATGTTCTTCTTTTCCAGCACCGCATTAGCGACGATGATTCGTCGAACGGGATACGCACATTTGGTACAGATAAAGATCCAGGTAATGTATGCTTATTTCCCATCTTATTCCATCACTTACAGTACTAAAAATGCTAGCTCAAAACATGAGCAAGCAATCTCTTCTCAGAAATAAACATAGGAAATAAATAGGGCTGTAGTAGTAACAGATGACCAAAAGTATTTAAAGATAATTTATTCCTGGCAGCAATAATAAAAAACATGCGAGAACTTTTTGTTGGTATGTAACTGGCCACATCACTTTGTTTTTTTTACACACAAATTATTACCGACAGTCATTTGTTTCTCTAATCTGTGTAACAAACGAATCTCGCGGGAAATAAAAAAGACGTCATAAATTTTAAACAACTCTGTTCTTAATTACTTTTTTTGCTAATTAATTTTTCAAAAAAATAGCCGCACAGTGGTATAGAGTAATATTGTGATTTAAAAAGCAAATTATGGAAAAGAAAAGATTAGAAACTAATTAGATTTTTAAAAAGGGGGTTTTTGCGATGCTTAAAAAAGTTTTGATGTAATAATTTAATAACATTGTAATATTGTTTTAGTATCAACGGAAGGCATTCTACGGACGGGGCGATACTATAAAGGAATATATTGGCCTTCTCTCACAAATAGTTTTAAGGTAAGAAATCTTTGCGTAAGGAAAAGTTATCCAAAAATCGTATATTTTTTGAGCAAATATCCACTGGCGTAGGTAATTTATTCTGGTTGTAGGTTTGCCGTCTATTCCTCCTTATACGCAAAGCATCTAAAAAGAATTTGTTCTATATTTTCGTGGTTATTTAAGATATACCTAATTGAGCAACTTAAGCAGCTCCTTTTTATGATGAGACTAGCTGTGCCCCGCGGTGTTACCCGCGGTAAAACGTAGCCGTTGTGTTAATCCAGGGTGTCAGCTAACTCCATACCAAATTTTATTAAAATCGCTCCATCCATTTAGACGTGAAGAAGTAACAAACATACAGACTCGCAAACTTTCATCTTTATAATATTAGTGTGATTATTACAAGTAAAAAAGCAATAAATTTTCAGGACGAAGCAGTGGAGTCATCATACCAAAGGTATTCCAGACGCCAAAGACAGAAGTCCCTCATCATGGTCAACGTGGTGGACCTAGCTCTCAAAGTATGTATGTATAAACATTAACCATAAAGTTATGTACGATTTGTGTACATTTAATTACGGGGGTGCTTTTGTTTCAGATATCTCTCTCTATAATTTACACGTTAAGCAATAGAGGAAACGGTAAGTTTAGTCAGTTCTATTATTATTTTATAATTTCACCTTGTTGATTTGTCTTTTTATTAAAGAAAACAGAAATAGGTTTTAGACGTTAATCAAGGATTAATGGTCCTCGAAGCTAAACATAATAAAATATTTCATTTCTTTAATTTTATTTAACTCTGAACATCATTATTTTGCGTTGAGACGCACATCATGATCACATCCCCTTCTGACCACCCCATTACCAAACCACCAGTAGTGTCGTGGGGAATATTTTTCCCTTCTACACTACAAATTAAGTTGACTACCTATTGCTTACTTAAAGCTGAAAACACTATCACAACCCGCAGACTACAAACTTTTTGTCGGCCGATAGTTTGATCATACCGTAAATCACTATCAACTGTAAAATTCGTATTATATATCGGTGTATGATACACCGATTTGGTATCGGTTGATTACGCATACAAAAAGCCCGACTAAACTATTGCCGAATAAAAGTTTGTCATCTGCTGGGACTTGCGATGGTGTTCTCAGGTCAGTAAGCAATAATCAACTTAGTTTGAACTTTGATGTGATCGTTCGTTCGTTCGTTCGTTTCAGCCGAAAGACGTCCACTGCTGGACAAAGGCCTCCCCCAAGGATTTCCACAAAGACCGGTCCTGCGCCGCTTGCATCCAGGTACTTCCCGCGACCTTCACCAGATCGTCGGTCCACCTAGTGGGAGGCCTGCCCACGCTACGTCTTCCAGCTCGTGGTCGCCACTCAAGAACTTTCCTGCCCCAGCGGCCATCAGCTCTTCGAGCTATGTGCCCCGCCCACTGCCACTTGATTTTAGCGATTCTGCGGGCTATGTCAGTCACTCTGGTTCTCCTACGGATGTGATCATGAGGCGCAAATACTGCTGTTATGCAATAAGGGATTTTGATTTAGAGTTATATTCCAGCAGCAGAATCTATAGTAGACGCATACCGGATAGCATGGACGGTGGCGTTTTCGTGGCTGAACGTGGGCGTATGTCTGCTGGGCTGGTGGCGTTGTTTCGCCAACAACTACCTGCACTGGGCCGCCGCCGCCACCTGGATACTGCTCATCGCACAAGGTAAGAGGGCCTAGATAGATAATATGATACCTACTTGATCTAATGCACGTATCTGTTTACTTGCTGTCCAGTGTTCCGCAAATGGTGTACCGTGGTCTTAAGATGGTGTGCCTCGGAAAAATAAGATTATCACTTATTTTTAGTAAGTAAGGGTAAGAACTAATTAGGTAATTAATTAAAAATTGATTTTTCATGTGTGGTCTAAGTACCTCCAAAAAATTTCCTTTTCCTAGATATACCTTGAACACAAAAATTTTGCGGAACACTGGTCTAGTCCACATTTGACACTGGTAGATTTACTTTATAAGCAACTACAGTTATTAAACTTATACCATCTTTCATATACAAATTAAGATTTAACCGAAACTTGAGCATACAGGTACTACAGGTCTGTTGCTTTTTTAACCGTTAAGATACTGTTAATTCACTTAAGTTTTTTATTTATGATAAGTCTTCTGGTATATTTCAATATGAACACCAGGACTACTGTACTTATTATTATACTATGGTTGTACCGTCATAGTTGCTACTTGCTGTTTCAATTTTACTTGCTGTAACAACTTTCCCCAATTTTCCAATGTTCCCTTGGTATTTCCAGGCCTGGGCGGGCAGGGCATCGGCTTCGACGCGCCAGAAAGCCAAGTATGGTACATGCTGTTCATCGTGTTCGTGCCGTACGCGATGCTGCCTCTGTCTCTTGGATGGTGCATCGTCATCGGGGTCCTGTCTTCGGTGGCTCATGTCCTGGCCACCGCCGTGGAGATAAAGGAGATTATGGATAAAAATACTTTGGCGGTAGGTTCCTGATGATGATATTAAATCTTACGTAAAAGACTCACAAACACACTCTTTAAGATGGATGACAGTCCTATAGTATTTTGGGGTTTTAGGTACCTTTTCCAGCTTTTTCTACTACATATTCATATATCTTAAAGTTTACTTAAATCTTTGTTTGTCACATTTCGAACTCCTCCTATATTCTTCTGATTAATTTCGTTTTTTTTTTCGTATTATCCGTCAAGTAGATCTTAGCTACGTATGTAGCTTCTGTAAGTTGCAGAGCGGTGGGAACGAGAGGTATGATTAAACTCTTTTTCTAAACTTGTATGTTTTTCTGATTTTTATCAGGCACATTCCTGCGGCATGAGACTGCTTGTCAGCAATGCACTGTTATACAGTGCTGTTAACTTTGCTGGCATGTACGCTAAGTACCTCGCCGATTGGGGCCAGAGGAAAGCATTTCTGGAAACCCACCGATCCATGGTCACCAGACAAAGAACGAAGAGGGAAAGTGACCGGCAGTGGAAATTGTTCCAAAGTGGTAAGCAAAACTTCAATGAAAACAAGTTTCAAATAAGAAATTACTGAAACTCAATGATATTATTTCATTTTATAATCCACTAAGATTTATTTCCCTATTTGCAGTGATACCAGACTTTCTGGCTCGGGAAATATACAATCACGTTTCTCGAGTGAGGGGTGAATTTCAAGAGCAGCAGTTCAACAATTTATACATACAGAGGCATCAAGATGTCTCCATTCTTTATGCCGATATCAAAGGATTTACTGGTAGGATTCTTAAACAAGTCATTTTTAATCATAATTCATTATAATATACCCTATTTTGTATCTAATTCAATGTTTTTGAAACTCCTTTATTGGTTTCAGAATTATCAAGCAAATGCAGTGCTCAAGAATTAGTGAAATTGTTAAACGAGCTTTTCGCTCGTTTTGATCGATTGGCGTCGGTGAGTTTAATTTTTAAACATCTTATAATTGATATTCTTCCTTAAATCGATGTCTAGACAGCTCTGAGAGAAAAATCAACTAAAAACGCCCTCGTTTTGTAGGAAAACAATTGCCTGAGGATCAAATTACTGGGCGACTGCTACTTCTGCGTGAGCGGTCTCCCGGAGACGCGCGAAGACCACGCGCATTGCTGCGTTAACATGGGGCTGCACATGATCCGCGCCATACGCGACGTGCGGTACAACGCACAGGTAAGCAAGGCTCGAAGGCATCTGCCCCTTCCCCATGGAAATGGTATGTCCTTAAAAACCAGCAAATTCATTGCCCGACCCTGAGTCAGGCTACCCCTTCCCTGGCTTAGAAGCTGGGTACACTCATGGTGGCGCAGCTAGTTGCTGGGCTACTGATGCTTCTGAATGAGCGGGTTCTTTGGTTGTGGCACGTAGTGCTACAGGTCTCGTGCATAACTGAATGCATGAGGTACACGGCTGCACGGGTGGGGTGACATAATATGACGTCTAACGCATACAGTCTGAAGCACATCTAAAGTTTCGCTGACGTTTGATTGACGTCACGAAACACCCTCCCGTGCCACTCCCATACCTCAGATTCAGTCATGCGCAGGACCTGCTGTAGTATACCGATACGATAGCACGTGTAACCGCTGCTTTATGTTCCAAGCTATAACTGCGAATGATGTCTTGGTACCTGCAAGTCTTACTTGTAGGTGGACCTGGACATGCGGATAGGCATCCACAGCGGGACCGTGCTGTGCGGCGTGCTGGGTCTGCTGAAGTGGCAGTTCGACCTGTGGTCGCATGACGTCACCGTCGCCAATCACATGGAGAGTGGAGGACTACCTGGGTATGTATTAACACTTCTTTAGCCTGTATTTCATAATATCAATATTTAAAATCCTAAATACTTGTTAATGGTCAACTGACGAAGCAAATCATGACGTCATAGTTTCATGTTGATAAACTAGCGTCTTTCTAACGACGTCGTCTCACCCGCATCTGTGCAGCGTTGATGTGGCGCACCAAGTCTTCCTTTGGCAGCTTTTGGCAATCGCTCAGCATTGGCTTTGCGGCACGAAACGGTCGAAGCGGCGCGGGTTCTGGCAAGACGACAACGCTTGAAAGACGCTATACAAGGTGGAAACGATAAGTGATCTCACTCCATTATTTCTAAACTATGCAAGATATCAAAAAACTAATTACTGATCCTGAAAGTGCTTCACGAGCTCTATCAAACGGTACCAATAATAGGTTACAAAATAAACTGGATCTATCCGAAAATTCAATGTTTCCAGCTTCCATACTAAATTTAAGCCAACCACCAAACACAGTATAAAGTGTATTTTTTTCGATTTCTTGTATAAGTAGTTTAAAAATAATCGAGTGAGATCACTTAACGTTTCCACCCTGTATAGTGTCTCTAATGCGAAATTGCATTTTGACAGCTTATCACAATTCTGTTTATCGTATGTTACGTATTCTTCTTTCACCCAGTCGAGTCCACATATCGTCGGCCACCCTGGAATGCCTGAACGGCGCCTTCGAGGTGGAGCCGGGCGACGGCGGCTCGCGCGACCCCTACCTCAAGGAGCACGACTTCACCACCTTCCTCATCAAGAGCTCGGAACAGCCGCGACGGACCAGAAACAGGTCAAAGGCTGGGTGAGTCCATTCATAGCGCATAGCCAGAACCCTCATGAATATTCCAAAAAGATTGTCCTTGTTAGTCAAAAAGGTTTTATAATCTAGCTAGGAAATAAAGCACTAAACTACTTCCCTCCCTCCAGACTGCGTAGTCTGAGTGAGCTTACGACTTACACAACATCATACGCATAGAGGGTAGTGGGAAGACTGCTGAATCGAAGTTAAATAAGTCAATTTCACTCTAGGCACCGCGCTAGATGCGTTAGTAAGCAATACGCGTAATCAGCTCGAAAATCCTTCGTATCTAATGGATAAAAAGAAATTAAATTAAATTACATATCGTGTCCTAGGAGCCAACAAAGCCAACAACTGTGTGAACCCTCGCGACGTCCTAGCAGCGGCATAGACGACGAAATGACCACCGATTGGACGCCAGAGATGCCTTTCCAAAACGTAAGCCATTTTTCATTTCCCTAAACATTCTTGTTGTATACGCTTGGCCATTTGGCTAGGTATTACCTAAGAGCTCTATACCTACATATTGTATTTATCCACAGTACTACACGACAACCGCCGCGGGAGTGGTCCGCTGTAGAAAGCGGCGCGACAGTGACGAGCTCAGCCAGGATAAAGACAACGGAGACGTGCCCTCGCTCTCTGATGCTGAGGTGAGTCTGCTGATGCCTACATCAGCGGAAGCGGAAGACCTATCTTACAAGACCACCAAATATATTTTATATTTTTTCTTCGTTCTTTAAACCTGAAATTTTCTTAAGTACTTCATCATCAAGTATTAGTGGAGGCTAAAAAATAGAACTGCATATTAAAGCACTTCCCACCTTAATTTACCAAATGCAGATGGAAATTTTGGCCACCCTGGACAGACAGGGATGGGGGAGGTCTCTTCCATTTAGATTTTTTTCGACCCTGAATTTGTATTTTTTTTTACACCTTGAATAAACCTTAACCGATTAGGTATACAACCAAACCTTCATCTTGAACCACTCTACTCCGTTGCGTAGTTTAAGATCGAATGGATCATACGATTTATACCGTTAATAAATACATCTTTCTATGCTGACCAGCCAGGAGGTATCTCCTCCAGTTGATATCCATTCTTAATGTACTCTTAACTGTCACAACAACATTCCTCGACGACATTCTACAGGAGGACGACATAATCAACCACTCGATCGAGGTGAGCAGCAACCGGCGCATGCGCGTGGCGAACATGCAGGCGTGGACATTACACTTCAGGCGCGCGGAGCTGGAGCAAAGGTTCGCGAGACTCGACGAGCGCACCTTCAAGTCCAACGTCATGTGCTGCCTCGTACTATGGCTGTTCATCGTCGCCGTGCAGTGCGTCATGCACTTTAAGTTAGTGCTGTTTTTTGAAATCAATAAGTACATTAAAATAGCTTTGTGATTGACTGCAATATACATTAGGTGTCCAGCTTCGTGAGCAAATGAGTTGTTGAATCGACGGTTTAAGTCAACCACTTATTGCATTTTTATAGAACAAACTTATCCTTATCCTAGAATCCATTAGGATTTGGGATCATAACAAGCTCAGAGGTCACAAAAACTGATTCATAAAGTGTTCACCACCATCCATGAAATGGAACATAGTCACTTACTCTCATATCTCCCAAATCCCAATTAACTATCTAAAACTCAAGATCTACAGGGCTACTCTGAAACGCTTTTTACGTAGTTTCGGGTCTACTATCACCGTCACTCATGCTGGTATTTCACTTTGCTTGAGAGGGATGATAACATTCGAAACTTCTGATATCGTTTTTCGGAATAACCTTGTCAGTAAAACTAGCCCTAAAGGAGTGTTTTATCCGTCCAGCTGCATGGAGATCGTGATAATCTTGGCGGCGATGACGATTCCACTGAGCGCTGCGTTCGTATCAGTGATGGCAGAAGAGTTCCCGGGCGCCTGCCCGCGCCTGGCGAGCGTATCGGCCGCGCTCGGGGGCTCCCGCCTGCGCCGCGACATACACATCTGCCTGTTCGTCACCATCATGTCCATCTCCAGGTGATCAAAAATATAAAAAAAATCAGAATTATTTATTCAGTTTAGACCACAAGTGGCACTTATGAACGTCAAATATAAAAAAGAAAGGGTAGCCCTTATGGGGCACTTTACATGTCACCTTATCTTTTGGGCCCTACCAACGCTTCGAGACAAACATATGGCAAGTGCTGAGAAGAAACGCCGGAACAAACTCAATCACCACTAATTGCCAGGAATTATCTAACGGTAAGAATAACCAAAATGAGTCCTGTAGTCCTGGCGCGATGATGATACCACTGAGCGCTGCGTTCGTATCAGTAATGGCAGAAGAGTTCCCGGGCGCCTGCCCGCGCCTTGCGAGCGTGTCGGCCGCGGGTTACCTACGCCATATCGAATGACAAATGATCGAAAATCAAAATATCGAACACGTTTCATCGAACGATCAGAATATCGAACGATCAAAATATCGAAAGTCGATCTTATGCTGCATAGTATAATAGGAAGATGGAGGTAAGGGTTCCTTGTTGACTATGGTACCCTATAGTGGAGAATAAAAAATATGTGTATATTAATGATGTTTTATTTACATTAATCATGTGAAATTTAATTAAAACCTAATTGGTTTTCGATATTTTGATCGTTCGATCATTTGTAAATTCGATATTTTGAACGTTCGATATTTTGATCATTCGATATTTTGATCGTTCGATATTCTGATCGTTCGATGAAACGTGTTCGATATTTTGATTTTCGATCATTTGTCATTCGATATGGCGTAGGTAACCCGCCGGCCGCGCTCGGGGGCTCCCGCCTGCGCCGCGACATACACATCTGCCTGTTCGTCACCATCATGTCCATATCCAGGTGAGTCTAGTGCCCACACCAGGATATCTAGGTGAGTCCTACAGGACCACAGTCCTGGCGCCATGATGGGGCGATGATCAACAGCTGTACCCAAAGATGGCGACTTCTCTCTATATTCGGCAACAACGATGATCAATGGCACATGCCAGATGGTGATTCTCTCTGAATCCAGTAATTAAGTATACCTACTGACAAACCATTTAGTTTCTCAATTAACTCAATAAATTTCATAAACATTTCAACATAATGCGAGAGGAAATTAAGAATAATACAAATAATTAACCCACATAGACTAAATATTTACAAATAAAAATATATTTTTTGTCATCATCATCCACTATTGTTGACTGGGATAGAAGAAATACATTAATACAATTTCATTCAACACCTCAAGACGATTTCTTTGCCATGCTAGTAAAACATGACAGTTGCTTTAAATACAACATTTTACTTTATTTCCAGCACAGTAAAGCTCTACGTGTGCCCTTCATCGTTCCCGCAAAGCGTGAATTACACGAACGAAATCCTCAACGAGTCCAACGCGACGACTCCAACGCTCTTGTCCGAATACCGCGAGGTGCCGGGCGAATGCTACAGACCCGAATATGTGGTGTTCACTTGGATCCTCTGCCTCGTGGCTCTGACTTCAATCCTCAAGCTATACTACCTCATCAAGACCTGCCTGGCCATCGTCAACGTGGCCATGTACTCCGGCCTCCTGCTGTACTATTACGACGTGTATTACATCAGCAGCGAAAACACTGCCACGTAAGTCTTGACCAACAAATAGGGGATCGGGCAATATTAAATTCCTTTGATTTGAAATCCAATCATTCGCTCAATGGACTGTAAAGCAGAACCTGGGTCAGAAACAGTGTTTTTACTTTATCACTCTCTGCTAAATTGCACAATCACCAATCGGTCATATTAAGTGGTGCTACCGGAAGTCGGAACATAGAAAGTATATTTCACCACACCCACCTTTTATATTTTTGTTCATCATTTGGTTGTATTGTTTTTAAGTCACTATTTTATCATTATTTGTTTTTAAATTTTTGTTCTCCATTTTTGTTCCTTGTTTTGTTTTGTGATTCGTGTCTGTCTAATAAATGTTTTTCTTTCTCTCTTTCTTTCCCATGTACTCTGTGGGCTCCGGCTGCATTACACCGACGTATTTATATCAGCGGAATAGTTTATATCAAAGCGTAAGTAATATACTGCTGCAACAGTCACTTTTAGAAACAGCTGTTGAATCACCATCCATTAGCCATGAAAATTATTTCAGTCTGGTGATGGGCAATCATTATTGCATCACAAGTAGATATTTCGTGAAAACAATCACTTCATGTGAGATTTAAGATGGTTGACACTGGTAGCATGAAAAGATTAGCAGAAGCCTACCATCATTATCCTTTACAATTACTAGAACTCAGTTTAGATTATAATAGTATGGTAGCACGTGTACATAATGTTCACTAGCTTTAGAGTAAACGCAATACTAGGCACTAGTCCTTTTGGTAGAGGTTTCAGTCTTTTGAAGAAAAAGCTTGATTTATGAACGCAACTTATTCCAGGCCGCTCAAATTCTACGTGCAAATGCTGATCCTAATGGTGATGTTCCTGGTGATGGTGGTGTACCACGCGCGGCTGATCGAGGTGACGTCACGGCTGGACTTCCTTTGGAAGCTGCAGGCCGAGACCGACCTGGACGAGATGGAGGACACGCAGAAGACCAACAAGCATCTGCTGAAGCATATCCTTCCAGATCACGTGGTCAACCACTTTCTGAGCAAGGAGTCTGCGCCAGATGTAAGTGGTTCTATTGATGTTGGTGACTTTTTCAATTTCATCGGTGTAGGATGTTTTTTCTGTTTGCCCTGAAAAAATCTCAAACTTGTGACTCTCGTGAGCTAAATTTTGTTTTATCATGTTAGAAACTATGTAGTAACTAATAAACTTTAACCCATGTTTCAACTTCAACCAATTGTTTAATGTCCATGGCCGTGTAGTTTCAGCAGAGTAGAAGAATAGAACCGCCTCTTCCCGGATTCCGTGATTGAAAACTATGTGAGATATATGCTATATCAGGCCCTAGTAGCCCAGCATGGGGAGAGCAGACCAAATCGTCCATTTGCTCTGATAAATTTTGCAGTCGTGTTCTTGCAAAAAGGACAGTATTCTTGCAGAAAGAAAAGTGCTCCTGTAGGGTAGTATTCCTGCTGTAGTCAGACCATAATGTGTGATTGTTCCTTAGGAGCTATACTCGCAGTGGCGCGACGAGGTGGGCGTAATGTTCGCGGGAATCCCGAACTTCCACGAGTTCTACTCCGAGCAGAAGGCCGTGGACTGCATGCGGCTGCTCAACGAGATTATTTGTAATGTACCAATCGCAACTCTTCTATTACTACACTCTTTACATTATTTTCGTCTTCTACAGCAAAATCAACGTAGGCTATACAGTTCAGCGGGGTTATTCCGAAAAATTTTATCAGAGGTTTCGAATCTTGCCATCCCTTTCACGCAAAGCAAGGTGCAGACATGAGCGACCGTGAAAGATAGACCCAAAACTACGTAAACAGCGTTTCGGAGTAGCCCTGCTCTTACAAACTAGTACCTATTAGAAGCAGGTATGTAAGATGCCATCTTCATCTTGATATGCCGCCGTCTGAACTTTACTGTATTTCTCTTGAAATAGGTACAGTCGATGAGTCGACAGCACATCAACCTATACATTTTTTGTTGCAAAATAGCATGTATTACAACGAGATAAGACGCCGCTGGGTGTAGGTTGATGTGCTGTCGTACATTTGGAGGCATTCTTTTCCGGACATAAATTTTCCTTTGGATCATTAATTTGCATCATTTGTTTTGAAATACCTAGTTCGTTCATTACTTATTCCTTAAATATTTTGGTTCAGTTGATTTCGACAAGTTGCTGATGCAGCCGAGGTTCAAAAGCATAGAGAAGATCAAAACCATTGGAGCCACGTATATGGCAGCTTCAGGATTGAATCCCAATCATAAGGTAAATATCACAAAATATTCATAATCCTATCCAAAAACGGTTAAGGCAGGAAATACGAAGCGCTCTACATCATTTTTTAAAAACCGGCCAAGTGCGAGTCGGACTCGCGCACCGAGGGTTCCGTACAAACCTGCAAGGTTTACAAAGTTCGTTCATTACGACAATCGAGTCATAACTATGGTATTTTTATTGCAAAATGAAATTCATAACATTACAATGGGGAAAGATGGAGGAGCATAAATTTAAGACAAAGATCTCTTCAGGCGCGGATCCACCGTTGTGGGCACTGTGGGCATGCCCACAACCCTAATTTGCTTGTTTTATTATGATCTATTGATAAGATCGATAGGCATGTATGTATGTCCGGGCATTTAGTAATCCAACTCTTACTTTGCTCATTTTTGGTGGCTGTGCCCACAACCTTTTTTGAGGGCTGGATCCGCGCCTGGATCTCTTTATCGTTTAAGTAATCCTTTATTTTATAGTATTTGATATGAATTTCAACTTGATAGCTCTACGCGTTCATGAGGAAAAAAGTAATAAGTTTATATTTATTAAAAAATATATATTTTGTAATGTAACTAAAAATTTAAGGTTTTCGGAATTTTTCCTTTATGTGTGCTATAAAACGTTGCTTCATGCCAAATTTCAAGATTCTAGGTCGACTGGAAGTACCCTTTAGGTTTTGATTCCCTTGCGAGTACTTGCGAGTTTCAAAATATGCAGCTTAAATTGCTGTTTCTTTTGATTGCGTTGACATAGAAGTTTGATTTTGTTACAGCTTAAAGGTATTATAGACCTGAGTATTTGGTATGAATTTCAATTTAATACCTCTACGCGTTTATGAGGAAATGGGTAGTAAGTTTAAAATTATTTTAAAAAAATATATTATGTGATGTAACTAAAAATTTATGGTTTTCGTAATTTTTCCTTTATCTATGCTATAAGACGTTGCTTCGTACCAAATTTCAAGATTCTGAGTTCACGGGAAGCACCCTGTAGGTTTTGATTCCCTTGCAAGTGTCGAAAATTTGCGGCATAAACGGCTGTATCTTTTGATTGCGTTGGCTTAGAAGTTTGATTTTTTCACAGCTTCAAGGGACAGTAGACCTGAGTAATTGATATAAATTTCAGCTTCATACCTCCACGCGTTTCTGAGAAAAAGGGTCTTGACAGACGGACGGACAGAAGGACAACAAAGTGATCCTATAAGGGTTCCGTTTTTTCCTTTTGAGGTACGGAACACTAAAAATCAGATACGGTTGAACAGATAAAATTACAATAAAGTAAATAAAGAATATGTAAACCGTGACGTGCTCATAGGCACAACAAGCGTCTGCTTACTGCGCAAGGGGCGTTATAAGTTGGTCTCGGCTTTTACGCTTGCTCTTTCTTGACTACTTAGTAGGCCTTAGGGCGTGGCGGAGTATGCCTGAGTCATCCCACAGTTGGGATGAGTCATATGTCCTACAGTGGGACGGGACTATACCCACCTCTCGTTCCCACCACTACAACTCCTGTGTAGCCAGGATCTACAGCTTGACCGCCACAAAAACCCAACCAATGAAGGTCAAGTTTGTCCCGGGGGAAAGTTAAACTGTCATTGGACCCGCAACGAAATTAATCAGAAGAACATAGGAGGAGTTCGAAATTAAGGTTCGTCTTCCCTCCATTGCAAAGCGGATGACAGGTGACAAACAAAGGTTTGCTACAGTGGGACGTACACTTTCTTTGCTTCTAGAACGGCGACGACGACAGCGAGCACCTGTGCGCGCTGGTGGACTACGCGTTCGCGATCCGCGAGGCGCTCGAGGACATCAACAAGCACAGCTTCAACAAGTTCCGCCTCCGAGTCGGTCAGTATTCAACTTAAACTAACAAAAGTAGCATGTTTATAATGTGAGCTCTCTTCAGATGTGCCAACGTTATTACATCACGGTAAAAGGCAACTTTTCCATTCAAGTAGATCGAAAAAGTTGTGTTGAGCAAAGATTACAATTCTTTCATTCATTCTTCATTGCACAAATTCACATGCCAGTTAAGTACGCTGGTGAGATAAGCTGCACTTCTCTGTGACCTAAGACCACATTTAATGTACCACATTATCTCAGTGAATAAACAATGCAATCTTAGAATTTTTCTTTCTTTTCTTTTTCGTTTTCTTAGAGAAAATCCTCCACTTCTGGACATGCCGCGCGCTAGGATGCGCGCCGTGATATACTTTATCGACGTCAAAATGTATGGGCCAAATCGATAAAACGGCGTGATAACGCTCATCGCGACGCACTTTAATTTTTTATCAAAATGTATGTCAAGTTCTTTTGGTAATTTTGAATGCCTACTGATAGGGTATACTAATGCGGCATCATCTCTATTCAAAATTCATGAATCCAAAATATCTTGTTTTGAATGAGTTCATAACACGTGGCGGCATTCATCTCTATTTTACTCTACAGGGTCTTAGGTAAATGGGTATATGAGCCGACACTAGCCCATGTTAACATGGTCATATGAATGGTATGGTGAAGTCAGAAAATTGATATCTTCATTTTTATTATTTTAATTTTCATACAAATCGGATTTTATAAAATTTATTTTGTATGAATATTAAAAAATTTAAAATGATGATATCAAATTTCTGACTTCACCATACCATTTATATACCCATGTTAACATGGGCTAGTGTCGGCTCATATACCCATTTACCTAACACCCTGTATACTCGTGCAGGCATAAGCTGCGGGCCGCTGGTGGGCGGCGTGATCGGCGCGCGCAAGCCGGTGTACGACATCTGGGGCAACACCGTCAACGAGGCCTCGCGCATGGAGAGCACCGGCCTCATGGACCGCATCCAGGTCACCAAGTACACCAAGCAGGTAACATAATTGCGATTTTGTAATCACCGCATCCCATTTCTCCAAAAGGCCTTCTGACTTCTGAGAGCCAGCTTTGTTGTAGCAGTCCACAACTCTCTCTCTCTTTTTTGCCCATTTGTTCCTCTTTTTTGCTACCGAATTAGAGCTCATTCACTGGCTAGTAGGCATGACAGTGGCGCCATAATGTGAGCACTGAAACTGAAACGGTAGTAACTAGAACTATGTCATGTGCACTTAAATAGTCATTTCCATGTTGTATACTCTCTAGTTCATCAGACATCATTTTCTTAGCCACTCGATAATGTCGCCATCTAGTAAGCGTAAATACGGTAACACTTACATGTTACCACCTGGTAATTTCAGTACATAAAGGAGTGAACACCTACCAAGGTGGTTGTACTCTTTTTTTTTTAAGATTTATTAGTCCCGTTAGCTCCTCGTACTAAGCTAAATCACGAGTCGGCCAGTCCGACCCCTTCACCGTTCGGCTATCGTGGCTTCGAAGACTCTAACATAAAATGATTTTGTTTCTCACCTCCCCAGCTGCTAGAAGTCCGCGGCTTCGAGCTAGAAAGCCGCGGCGGGGTAGAAGTGAAAGGCAAAGGCCGCATGCACACGTGGTGGGTAGTCCGAGGCCGCGCGGGCCGCCGCCCCGCCGCCGCGTCAGCCCCGCCGCGCTCGCTCGCCGCCATCGTGTATACTATGCTACAAGCGCGCAAAAGAATATACACGCATCCGCTGGACGCAGCCGCTGCTACGACTACTTGTAAGTAGACAGTTACAGACCGTGGTGGGTAGTGCGAGGACGCGCGGGTCACTGCGCCCGCTCGCCGCCATCGTGTATACTATGCTACAAGCGCGCAAGAGAATATACACACACCCGCTGGACGCAGCCGCTGCTACGACTACTTGTAAGTGGACAACTACAGACATAGAATCTTCCCTAGCGTCCATAAAGCTTCTTCTCATTCGACTCCTGCACCTTGTGTGTCCGCGCTCGCTCGCCGCCGCGTGTATACTATGCTGCAGGCGCGCAAGAGGATATACACGCACCCGCTGGACGCAGCCGCTGCTACTACTACTTGTAAGTGGATCATTGCTTAACTACAACAGACATAGCACTGTCCCTAGCGTCCCTAGGCCGCATGCACACGTGGTGGGTAGTCAGAGGCCGCGCGGGCCGCCGCCCCGCCGCCGCGTCAGCCCCGCCGCGCTCGCTCGCCGCCATCGTGTATACTATGCTACAAGCGCGCAAGAGGATATACACGCACCCGCTGCCACTACTACTTGTAAGTGGATCACGACATGGAACTATCCCTAGCGTCCCTAGGCCGCATGCACACGTGGTGGGTAGGACCGGCTGCCGCATCAGCCTCCGCGCTCGCTCGCTGCCATCGTGTATACTATGCTACAAGCGCGCAAGAGAATATACACGCACCCGCTAGACGCTGCCGCTGCTACGACTACTTGTGAGTGTCCACTAGGTGTCCAACTACAGACATATAATCTTCCCTAGCGTCCTACAGGCGTGCAAGAGGATATACACGCACCCGCTGGGCGCTGCCGCTGCCACTACTACTTGTAAGTGGATCATTGTTCAAGTACAACAGACATAGAATCTTCCCTAGCGTCCCTAGGCCGCATGCACACGTGGTGGGTACTCGCTCGCCGCCATCGTCTACACCATGCTGCAGGCGCACAAGAGGATATACACGCACCCGATGGTCGCTGCCGCTGCTACAACTACTTGTAAGTGGATCATTGCTCAACTACAACAGACATAGCACTGTATCTAGCGCCCCTAGGCCGCATGCACACGTGGTGGGTAGTACCGGTAGCCGCGCTCGCTCGCCGCCATCGTGTATACTATGCTACAAGCGCGCAAGAGGATATACACGCACCCGCTGGATGCAGCCGCTGCCACTACTACATGTAAGTAGACAACTACCTGTCCCTAGCGTCCCTAGGCCGCATGCATACGTGGTGGGTAGTACAGGGCCGCGCGGGCCGCCGCCCCGCCGCCGCGTCAGCCCCGCCGCGCTCGCTCGCCGCCATCGTGTATACTATGCTGCAAGCGCGCAAGAGGATATACACGCACCCGCTGGACGCTGCCGCTGCCACTACTACTTGTAAGTGGACAGCTACAGACAGGACTGTCCCCTAGCGTCCCTAGGCCGCATGCACACGTGGTGGGTAGTACCGGTAGCCACGCTCGCTCGCTGCCATCGTGTATACCATGCTGCAAGCGCGCAAGAGAATATACACGCACCCGCTGGATGCTGCCGCTGCTACTACTACTTGTAAGTACCGCCGCGCTCTCTCCCTTCCATCGTCTATCTATATTATGCTACAGGCTCACAAGAGGATATACACGCACCCGCTGGATGCAGTAGCTGCAACGACTATGTATGTGTAAGTGGACAGCCACAGACAACTTTCCCTAGCGTCGACAAAGCTTCTATTCCTCTCATTCGCTTACTGCATCTGGTATACTGACATAGATTGGAGAGTGGTACGCGAGCCGCCGCCAACATCTACCTACAACATGCTACAGTACAGATGCGCAAGCGCATCACTCACCTTTCCCAGGCAGAAGAATGTTCCTCTTGTCTAACTATGTAGTTACCACATTATTCAGAACTTTATTCCCCATTTTTCGGCTGAGTTGCACCACCCAACCTTAACCGTAACTACAACGTGACCGATGTATTTTGTATGGAGTTTGACGTTTGTAGCATAAAATCATAAAGGTAGCAGGAAAGCGCTGGACGCAGGCCGCTACCAACCGGGTAACATGGAAAGCATTGGGGGAGGCCTATGTTCAGCACGTTTCAGCTCGGAATGACAACTTCTCAAAATGACAACCGAGGCGCAAAATGTCCACTTCTCGAAATGACAACTTCTTAAAAAAAGACAACTTCGCTAAAAGACAACTCATAATGTCTATTTCTCACAATGACAAATTCGCATTTGGTCAACTTCACATAACGACAACTCTAGAAGAACTATAACAGACTCTAGAAATAATGAAAATAAAATATCAACAAGTAGTTGACTGAGACTTGAGCGAAGTTGACATTTTAAGAAGTTGTCATTTCGAGAAGTGGACATTTTGCGCCCCGGTTGTCATTTTGAGAAGTTGTCATTACGAGCTGAAACGGTTCAGCAGTGGACGTCCTATGGCTGAGATGATGATGATGATGATGATGATGACGTTTGTTAAAGTTGAAGTAAGATGGTGCAGCAACCCAGCCGGTCAAAAAACAATGCAAATGAACTTGCCTGTATTCTCCCAGCAACAAGCCGCGCGGGCAGCGTTCGCGCCGCCGGCTCCACGCGCAGCGCGCCGCGACACCGCTCCGAGCTGCGCCGCGCGCGCACGAGACACGGGCCGCACACTGGGTAAGTGCAAAGCATAGTTTGAACCTCATTCAGTTGATTTTACTTAATTTTCTTTAACATGTCTAAATAAAATAAGTGAAATTCAGGAGCACAGATATTTTAGAACAAAGATGTTGTAATTTTTGAATTCTTATCGTATACTTTTGAAAAAATCATCTAGCCTCAATTTTTCTGGTTAATACTATTTAAAAATAATTAAACCAGTTTGTTAATCAAGTGAATTTTGGAGACGGAAACATGATGATAGACTAGAATACAACACTAAATTTTTATCACCGAAAAAATTTTAACAGGTTATGTAGAAACGTGTGAAAAATTTAAAGCAAAAGAATAAGAAATGTTTTTCATAAAGTTAATTTTTTTATTAAATTTTCTTTAATCCGTATTTTACGCGTCACAGCTTTGTCACTCCGCTGCTCGCTAGAGTAGTCGTACGCGCTCGCACGTTGCATCGATCTGTCCATCTCGCTCACGCCTCGACCACGCTTCCAGTGTTATTATTACATACTTAGGTAACTTAGACAATTTTAATAAGTGTTACAGTATCGCACGTAAATAGTGCTAGCGACGCGGTGTCCATAAATTACCAATTTTAGAAGGAAATTTTGAGTCACTTTATTTAACTTTTTTTTTGCACAAATGGGATCAGTATCAATAACTCATTACCCAGAATTATTTTTTCGGTGATAAATATTTAGTGGTGTATATTATTTAATGTTGGAATATGGATGAATAATACTTTTAGGCCCATTGACACGTGTTTTTGGTCCTTCGATCCTGTTTGTATTTCAATATCTTGCTATCAGATGCAACAAATTCGTATTCTAAATTCGTTAAATTATCTTTGGGAATCAGTTTTATGAACAAATTAAGAAGACATCAGAATCTAGTGGTTACTTACTTCTCGTTCCCCCAGCGACATCGAGCTGGGCATCCGTCCTCACGCCAGCAGCATGGTGGTGCGGCGGCCGGACATGGCGCCGCCGCTCGTCAGCAGCATCTCGGCGCCGCACACGCCCACCGCGCCGCACGCGCCCGCGTTACCCGCCCTGCCCGGCTTGCCCGCCGCGCAGCCGCCCAAGCTGGGGCTAGGTAACACCTAGGCTAAGTTTGCTCGTACACTCGTGCGAGCTCAAAACACATACCTCTTCTATCGAACTCCTCCTATGTTCTTCTGATTAATTTCGTTGCGGGTCCAATGACAGTTTAACTTTCCCCCTGGACAAACTTGACCTTCATTGGTTGGGTTTTTATGGCGGTCAAGCTGTAGATCCTGGCTACACAGGAGTTGCAGTGGTGGGAACGAGAGGTGGGAATAGTTGTAATACCTATTCTATGTTGTGGAAAGAGCTTCATCACCATACAGTGCCCCTCGTCTTCAAATACGCGCCCTGCCCCCCCTGCCCGCCGCGCAGCCGCCCAAGCTGGGGCTAGGTAAGACCTAGGCTAGCTCGTGCGAGCTCTAAACACATACCTCTTCTAGCTACTCACCGTGGAGCTATGTTAAGGAAAAGGTAGGTAGGTAGGCTAGGTAACACATACTCACAGTGGAACTATAATAATATGGAGCAGGCCTACCTCTTCTAGCTACTCGTTCGTTCGTTTTAGCCAAAAGACGTTCACTGCTGGACAAAGGCCTCCCCCAAGGATTTCCACGAAGACCGATCCTGCGCCGCTCACATCCAGGCACCTCCCGCGACCTTCACCAGATCGTCGGTCCACCTACTCACTGTGGAATTATATGATTCATCGCCATATAGTGCCTATCGTCTTGAAATCGCAATCACCTCCGGGTGACGGAGGCATGCGCTGCTCATTTTTCGATGCACACGGAGAAATTTGCGAGACTCTAACACATACTCTTCTAGCTACTCACAGTGGAACTATATTGTGGAAAGAACTTCATCGCCATACAGTGTCTCTCGTCTGCAAAAATGCCCCCGCCGCGCAGCCGCCCAAGCTGGGGCTAGGTAAGACCTAGGCTAAGCTTGCGCGTGCGCTCGTGCGAGCTCTAAACACATACCTCTTCTACAGGGTGGAAAGGATAAGTGATCTCACTCGATTATTTCTAAACTATACAAGATGTCCAAAAACTGGATCCTGAAAGTGCTTAACGAGCTCTATCCAACGATACCAATAATAAGTTACAAAATAAATTGGATCTTAGTATGGGACTTACGTCCCACGTGTCGTTCCGACTGCTGCAACTCCTGTACAGCCAGGATCTACAGCTTGACCGCCAATAAAAACGGGTTGGGTATTTGAAAGTCAAGTTTGTCTCGGGGGAAACTTAACAGTTATTGGACTCGCAATGAAATTAATCAAAAGAACATAAGAGGAGTTAGAAGTTAAGGTTCGACTTCCCGGAAGCGGATAACAGATGACAAAACAAAGATTTAGTAACCTCACCTAGATATTTGCAGTGGAACTACAAGGGAGGAGCTCCATCGTCCTCTTCACGCCATACATTATCCAACAACCAGCAGCCATTGTGCACACAACTGGCCAAGCTGAGGCTATATGTAAAACATCGCTATAACTTGTCTGGCTACTTCCTACTGAGAGAGGGAAGGAGCTCCATCTGCGTGTCTTTAGCATACAAGCATCGTGCACTGCACTATTCTGAGCCTCAGAACTTATAAGAGATACCATAGACGCTAGCGTGGGCTCTATTGAGCGCCTATTGCAGCTTCCATTAACAATGGTTCACTTTGACATTAACTTTATTACTTGAACAGAGCCTTAATACATTCCATTGTCTCCAGGTGCAAGACTCAAAGCGGCCAGCTTTTCCTACCGCACGCGGCCGCGAGACAAATCTCCGAAGATTCGCGAGCAGTATTCCAAAGAGGGCTCCGTGAACTCCGTCGCTAACGGAGCGCCGGGCTCGTTCCGCTTCCGCTCCGTCACCACCGCGTCCTTCTTCCGCAGCCGGAACAAGGACAAGCGGAGCAAGGAACAGCTGGATGACGAACACAAGGAAAACGGGGACGCTGTCACCACGAGGATGTGAACTATTTTAATTAAAGACGAAAATATCTTAACAGATACATATATGACATGATTCTTCTATGTACACCGATTAATATTAATGTTGCAGAGTATGGAACGTTCCCAAAGATAAACCTTATATTTTTTATTTGAGAATATTTATATAAGATTTGTGTTTGCACAAAATAATTTTAGTTTTCGAAATGTATTTAGAATTAAGCACAAAATATGCATTTAATATATGTAGATAAAAGTACAATCGTATGTACCATGTTGTAAATAAATTGTAAAATCTATGTCGGTAATATAATTACGTACTCGATATTAAGTTGTATGTACTATTTTATTAAAGGGGATGCAAAGGAAAACGCTAACTAAACTCTTCTAAAAGAAGACACTATTGTAAATATTTTAAGCATTTTTGGCTTTTGTCTATTTTTATAACATTTCGTCGACGTTATGTTCGACGCTGTTTATATTATATTGCTTTATGCTTATCTACTGTTAGAGCTTAATGTGTTACGGTCAGAACTTGTGAACCCTTAGATGTTAGGGACCAAAAAGAGATGATGAATTATGTTAGCGGCCTGTGCTGTGGCCGACACTCGAGAGTATAAAGGTAAGATTTGGCCAGTTCTGATAGCTATAGATTTCAAATATGCAAACCAGTCTTGTAGTAGCCAATCACCAAGGATTGATGCAATCTATTACTATACACACGTCACAATGACGCAAGGTGTATAACACAGATCCAAATCTATGATTGGTGTAACTTCAGTGTCATGCTTTTGACCGCCAATGTAGCAACATATTTCCGTTGGGCGCCGCAACGCATCGTGTGCAATTACCTTATCTTTGTATAACACATAAATCGCACAAAGCTTCTACAGAAACTCGAATACACAAAGAACAATGTACAGAATGAATACAAGTTGTGGATATGAGTATGAAAGATATAATTGTAAGTAGTATTTAGCCAAAAGTAGTAAGCGATGCCAAAGATAAAATGATCTCAAGCATATTTTATCAGTGCGTGTATAATACGCTGTATTTACATTGCATATTGTACATAGTATTATTTTCAGATCTGGAAAGTTTATGTGAACATGTAATAGTTGTTTTAATTATATCATCCGTTGTAGCGATAAGTAAAATATATACATTAATGTTACCAAAGCCAAATTATTTTATAGGTATTAAACTAAAGATTTCTTCAAACTGACGTTTATGAAATAAAACATGGAATTCGAACGCAGCATTTTATTCGTTTCATTCATCCAATCGTTTTATAAACACTGTTGGAATACAAATATGAAACTTACGGGTATAATTATAAATAATTCGTAATATAAAACTAATTAATATAGCTTTGGAAATACGTCACATCCTTGATTGATAAAATTAATAAATCGCTATCACTTGTTGAGATGAACAACATACACTAGTCTAATGTGGATCTAGCTGGAAACATATATCACATGATAATAATATTATTACAGTTGCAAAGATTTGGCCCGCGAATCTAACCGCACCGAGACGGAGAATATAATTTATAAAAATATTACCACTCATCTACTAAGGTACGTGTATTACTGTTAAGCATCACATATTTATGTATTAATTTATAGAGATTGCTATTTCCCAAGCGCTACACAATTCCAAAAACGTTTTAGAAACAAATGCTACGATTAAAATCCCCAAATTAGCTCCAGTATTTAAATACATTTATTATTGCTTATTCTATCAATTCATCATAGTCTTTTAAATAAACATAAAGTAGGTGTCGGGTAAAATATACCCACACTCATTCTTCCGTCATCAAAAATATCAAAAACATTGGCACGTGTCATGTGACCTTATTGCCGTTAAATATCACAAATTATGCTGCTAATATCATAAAATGAACTCAAAAATACTTCAAACGCACGATGTATATCGATGTAATGGATTTTTTCCAATACTCTTTTTTCTTTTATCTCAACAGTTCCGGAATATTAAAATGTATGAACAAGAATATGACATGACAGCATTGGGCATTGCTATACTCTCTCAACTCAATTTATTTTTATACCTTTTCGTCTGTGTTCATTACACACTTTTCTTAACACGAAATTGTACTGTATACCTTTACTACCCCTAAAATACTCATTTGTAGCACTGCCAAGTTCATTTGGTGGGCGATTTATGTACCAACTTAAATTTTTTTTTTATTGCAATATAGTCAACAAGATAAAACCCGAATGAAAAAATATAAACTCCCACAGCTGCTACACGAAGACAAATTCCTTTAAATGGAACACATACACTTAGACCTAATGTGTGACATCACGTTTCAGTAAATTCATCTAAATAAGGTACTAGCTGGAATCAAACTAGTGCTAATATACGAACTTAAATAAATATAAATACAACAAAGTAATATCTGGACTAAATAATGCTATAAAGGCACTTTCATGTGAATATATTAATTCAATACATCAAGATTTTATTCAAGAATTTCGTAAAATCTATAAAAGGGGGCAAGATTTATATGCATAATATTGATCTAATAAAATATTTTGATAGACATTTGAATAATATATCGCTATGGCACCAATATTTTGTATTGTCTTTGTATATTAATAATTTATTGGCGAACATTTAAAATAATTAGAATGTGACAAAACATTTACATTGAATAATACTATTTTACGATATTAAAACTAATTGTGATCCGATTGCACCATCGATGTTTGCAAGACTTCAACCCATCTGCGGAAACAAATTGTATCTTTTGGTTTATTCATATAAATAAATAACAAACATCAAGTAATAATAAAATAATGTTAATATAAGGGTAATGATTGTCTCCTAAACGCGATTTGATATGGTAACGATCTGAATTCGAACGAATTAGAATTATTGACTGGAGCTGAAATAGTCGACCCCTAAGAAGTTTGTTACCTATTGTATGATAACGTGACGATGTAGAAGACAACTCACAACAACTACCTGTTGTTGTGAGTTGTCTTCTACATACAACAAATTTAATAAGTTACCTACCTGTTGTACGTGAACATGCTGTCTGCCCGGAAGAAATACACGTGGTTCTTGAACTGCAGCTTGAACACGAAGTCTTTGTCGATGCCGTCGCCCGCGCTCGGTGCGCTCACGCCGTATCTGTGAAGAGAAATGTTTTATTTGTAGGAATATTGTTCAAAGATGAACAAGACTGCAGAACCAGAAAAGACCAACAAATAAATGCAGGACTATTAGTAACAAATCACCGTATATGTTACGGTCAAAGTGATAAATGTGAAAATTATGAATAATCGCCGGTTATTATGAATAATTACCGCATGATTTGGTAAATGTGATTAATATGAGGTCATTTATGTGTGTATAAAACTAAATAGGCGGCTTAGGCGGCCCAAGGGCCACCCCCGCCGCACCTTAACCTATTTTTCACTTTAAATCAAAACATTATGTTATAGGCATCATGGAAAAGTAATATTATGCAAGAAACATTCCAAACTCATTATGCCAAATTATATTAATATATGATATCAAAACGTTCAAAAGTTTGGCTGTACACGAAGACGTACACAAGATGTTGTTCTCTTTTATGAAATTTGTTAGTACTAAGGTTGAATTATTAAATAATCACTGTTAAATGTGATTAATTTATCACTTTTACCGCGACTCTCGGGAATTATTCATAATAACCGGTTATTATTAATAATTTTCAATTTATCACATTAACCGTAACATATACAATGAAATTGCATAAGTCGTGTTTATAAGTCAAGCTAAATGTGACGAATTGTATGTAATAAGTATTGTAGGTAGTAGGTACCTACTGTTTCTTTTCATCAGTGAATTGCAATGATGATTTTTTTTAGGTACGGAAACTGTAAAACAACTTATAAGCCGTATTTGGGCAACATTACTTAACTATTTTTAATCGTTACGTTACGTTACGTTACTAGTTAATTGCCTGCCACTGCGGCCAGAATCGTGACCAGAGCCGGACGTGGACAACCCAGAAAATGTATGAAAGTGCGGGAAAAACGTGTATTCTAGTCCATGATCCTGAATCCGCTCTTCACAATGAGGGTTTTCGCGAATGAAAGATCCGCTAGATGGCGGAACGTGGCTGTGGGGTCTGACTGCTGCGTGATTGATGGATTTTGACATATCTATCAATGTCATGTCAAAAATAACCAATCATGCAGCATTTGGACCTCGTGTCTACGTATTGCCATCTGGCGGATTGTTCATTCGCGAAAACCCGCATTCCTTGAAAATAGTCCTACATTCACTAAGCAGGTGATATTCAGACAGTAGTAGTTAGTAGGTTCACGGTGATCTAATTATATTCTGTAAGACCTTTTGTATTGAGTATGTTCAAAAGCTGTAACTTACCCGAGCAGCGGCAGCGAGGCGAGCGGCGCGTCGTCGAGCCAGGCCTTGTAGAAGAACAGCGTGAACTGCGCGAACACCACCCACAACTTCTGCCAGCCCGGCGACTTCTTGAACTTGCGCAGCAGGTAGCCCGACAGCTGCGTCTGCGCAGGGAGGGAACATAAATAAATACTAATGTTTTTTGTACCAAAGTAGGTAAAGTCCGGTCGCCGTACAGACAGAATTTCGTCTAATGAACCCAAGCTCCTCATTGCTCGCGCGTAATTATATTGCTGTCGCGCTCGCGCACTCACTGCGGCCGCGCGTCGCACCGTCTCGTGGGTAGCTTGGGGTCATTGGACGAATTTCTATGTGCTCGGCAACCGGACTTTAGTAGTACCTTTTTAGAAAATAAATAACCCTCCTTCTGGCGCAGTTGGGTAAAAAATAAGAGACAATTATAAGAAAAAAGCTATTTATAAGCTTCTCGTCGATACTGACCTACAAGATCACGTCTTTTAAGAATTAAAATCATACTTCATTGTGAATGCGAATTTAGGTAAACATAGCAAATACACGGCTTAATAATAATAACGCTCCAAATTCTACGTTTTCAGGTGTCTTCACTGCTTTTTTAAAAACCTAATTGAAATAAATGAAAACTTCAACTTTTACCTTGAAAATGTAATCATTAGAAGTTAGAATTGAACTTTCTGCTTTTGACACAATTCAACTGAAAATAGAAGCCCATTGTCGTCTCTGAACAATGGTTTACTTACCCGCATAGCCAGGTGCAGCTGATCCCGCGCGAGAGACGTGGCGCGATGCCAGCACACGTGCGCCAGGCCGCCGCCCGCGCCGCCTGCGCTCAACGATTCCTCCGCTGCAATGAACACGTAAATAATACCGGTAAACAAAAAAAAAATTTTTTTTGCGCATGGATTTTACTTATTATATTCTGATTATATAAGCAAATTTATATAAAAAAGTGCGATTACAAATCGAAAATATTTGCTTTTTAAGAAGTTATAGGGATTTGAATTTTCCATCTTCATAGTAGAATGTCTCTAAAGATGCACGTCCCATTCTCATTGGGATATATCTATTTATAAATAATTATGGGGGCTTATTCGCAAGAACAAGGGGCACGCTTTTATCAAAATATAGTGAGATTTGAGAGACGACGTTACCAAGGCCAGTAACCTGAAAGCATGATAGGGTTAGATTTTTATGCGAACAATCTTCTATGGAACATGTCAGGAAATTAGAACTTTTCATTTTTAATAAATATTTGGACTCTATTTTAAATTTTCTCTTGTGAGAATGAATCTTAAACGGATGTTTGGTATGTTTTAATAATTAGAAAGAATGAAAGAAAGAAAGAAAAAAATATATTTGGCAACAAATTGAATCATCTCTATGTTCATGTTTCATACATTCATTGATATGAATTTTTCTATTTTTTACACAATTAAGCAAATTCAGAACAATTTTTTGTTGTTATTCTTATTTCTAGGTCATATAGCAATAAAAATAAGCTATGCATAACTCGTGCGCAAGTAATAGCAGAGTAGATACAAATAAGTAGGTCATCTTCATAGAAACGCACCGAGCGCGGTTTGTATGTGAGCGCGCCAATACGTATGCGGCGCGCACGCACACACTGACAAAATTCGGGGCAACTCCCCGCTAATCAANGCGCGCACGCACACACTGACAAAATTCGGGGCAACTCCCCGCTAATCAACGCTAAATTTTGTCAGTGTGTGCGTGCGCGCCGCATACGTATTGGCGCGCTCACATACAAACCGCGCTCGGGCGTTTTTATGAAGATGACCTACTCATTTGTATTTACTCTGATAATAGTATCAAAGAGGTAGTACAGTGGCCAACAGTTCCAGCTACCCATTTCCGTTTTTCTCTCGCTCTTGCCAAATGGAAATTCTTTGCTTTAGAACGAGACGACCAAAAATGGGTAGATAGAACTGTGGCATATAGTGCATTTTTAATAATAAATGATGTCGTTTGATCTATAAAATCTATGAAGTTGATTGATGGTATCAAATTTCCAAGTCATTAATGTAGTGCATAGGTATATCATAGACGTCCATAAAGCCATAAAGCTGCTCCAGGTCCTCAGCAATTTTTCTAAATTGCCTAAAACACGTTTTTACCTACTATCTTATTACTGTGACCACGTATCCAACTTTTTAATTAGTAAATTTAATATTGAATTGAATAACAACAATATTCTTGTCTACACTTACCCATATCGTGCTCATAAGGCGTTAACTCCGTGTCTATTTCCGTAGGGTTTTCATGCGCATTTGCTATAGTTTCATCGAACGCCCGCGTCCACCCAGCGTACTCTTGGTCATTACTCGTACTAATCAATAGTTGAACATCTTCCCCTGAAAGTAACAAACCAACCACTAAATATCTTTCAAAATAACTTCTGAGTTCATATTTTAGTAAAGTTTCAGATACTTGCCCCCGGTTACTGAATAGATTTTTAGCTTGCACGTACTCTACTTAAGCATGAACGTAATATAAAAAATTAAAACCTTAGTATCAAATGAGCACGCTCAAGCTAAAATCAATTCAGAAACCGGGCCGTAAAGGTCAAATTACAAACATTAAATGTGCCCATACCTTCAAGCACGAAGGAATGCGGCAAGTCGGCATGTTTGAGCACTAGCATGTGCAGAGGGATGGCGGAGTGCGCTCGAAAATGGCCGCCGCCCGCTCGAGACGCCACTACTAAGATATCACTGAACTGAAACAAAACATTATCTTGCCAATGTGTTCTTTAATGACTTGAAAAATAAAGCTATTTTTACTCGAGCAGCATCGAACTTTAATACTGATGTAGTTCTTATTCATCATTAAACATTATCTTGCCAATGTGTTCTTTAATGACTTGAAAAATAAAGCTATTTTTGCTCGAGCAGCATCGAGCTTTAATACTGATGTAGTTCTAATCATCAGCCATAAAATCAATTGTATAGTTTGGGCCAACAAGAAACATAAAATACACTTCCATACGTGAGTAATAAACAATGTGAATAACTATGACTATGGTTAAGTAACTTACCAAAAATAACATTCTTTGCTGCAGTCCCCGTGTGGAATGTTTGTACACGCAGCCTAATCTGACGAATTCTCTATCAGCTACTAGCAGTTTATCGTAACCTGCAAAACAAAATCAAAAATCTATGTAAGTATTGATTATGAAAAATCAAAATCCAAGTGGACAGAATTATGTAATTATATTCCATGCACTTTGTTAGTATGCAGGATATTCAGAAAGTAAAATGGACGGGTGGGATGGAAGCGTGGGACGTCCACCCATAAGGTGGATAAAGGTAGCAGGAAGGCTCTGGACGCAGGCCACTACCAATCGGACAACATGGAAAGCATTGGGGGAGGCCTATGTTCAGCAGTGGACATCCTATGGCTGAGATGATGATGATAATGAGATGAAAATGGACGGTGGTATGATGAACTGCCACAATCGGCGTCAGTAGAGCAAGCTTATGCAGTACATGTCAACTGCTTTAGCACAAGTCTAATAAGTATATCAATTGAGTGGCGATATCGATTGCAATATTTAGCGGTAAGTAGCGATAACGCGAGCTAAAGATACCAACTGCCGTATTCAGTGGTCAGTTGCGAGTGATACAAGCCTAAGGAACATGTCCAAGAGTCAGTAGCGTCGAGCCATACCCACTATGTCGCGCTGCAGCTGGCAGAGTGCGGCGTGGTTCTCTGCGTGACGTAACTGCGAGCGCGCCGCCGCTCCCGCGCGTTTTGCTAAATCCAACGCCTGCGCCGCCGCCGCCGTACCCACGGCTGCGTACAGTTCTGCAAACAAAAAGGCTCGTAATACTATTTACTGCTTAGATTAATAAAACTCACACAAACACAAGCCAATATTTGAAGCAACTGTCAACTGCTTCATTCGATTCATTCATTCGATATTTCGCACTCAGTGATGGCCTCGACTGTAAACACTTGAATGAAGGGCAGAGGCGACTGAACTTTTATAAGCCGACTGCTTCCCCCTTGAGACGGTGAGACTGAGGGCTATCTTGTTTGGCCTAACCAGTTGGAGTCACCGTAGAGTAAGGTCATGTCCCGTGACTTAAAAATTGGCGCCAACTGGTAAGATTTGAAGCGGTAGGAGGACTATCGCATTTACTCTCACCAAACCATCGCCACTATAGAGTAAGGTCCTGTCACTCGCCAGTGGTGTCAACTGTTAAAGGACTTATCAACCCGAAAACGGATCGTAACTGTATTAACTCGAGGCGGTCAGTGTTCTTTGTATGAAATTCCGTACTGTAACACACACTCATCTGCACCCTGTTGGTAAAACAATAAATAAATACAATAGAGTAAACGCCTCGCCTCGGTTTACTGTGCGGCGAAAGGCAACAGTGTTGATCCCTTTCCGGGTTGATAAGTGTGCTATGACGGTGATACCATGATATTAGTGTGATATTAAGACCACACGTACCGGCGGCGTCCACTCGCCGCACGCTCTCTACGAGACCCACTAGTGTGCCCACGCGTTCCGTGTACTGAGCGTAGCTATACGTAGTACTTACTAGCGGCCGCCCGCGACTTCGTACGCGTAGATCCCGTTTTAGCCCCTTCATCTATCTTACGCGGTTTAGATTTTTTCATACAAAAGTTTTTTCCCGCTAACTCCCGTTCCAGTGGGAATTTTGCAATATTATGTTGTAACTAAGCTTTAAGTTTACTAAGGTACCTGCATGCCAAATTTCAAGCGTCTAACTAAAGCGGTTTAGATTTTTCATACAAAAGGATTTTCCCGCTAACTCCCGTTCCAGTGGGAATTTTGCAATATCCTGTTATAACTAAGCTTTCAGTTTACTAAGGTACCTGCATGCCAAATTTCAAGCGTCTAACTTAAGCGGTTTAGATTTTTCATACAAAAGGATTTTCCCGGTAATTCCCGTACCCGTGGGAATTTCGGGAATTTCCTTTCTTAGTGCACCTCTACGGTACCTAAGCTACGTCCCTTCCAAATTTCAAGTGCCTACGTTAAGCCGTTTAGGCTGTGCGTTGATATGTCAGTCAGTCAGTCAGTTTCTCCTTTTAATATTTAGAAGATATTATTCTGTGTTAAGAGTTAAGACCACACGTACCCGCGGCGACGGTGTATAGACGCTCGCTCTCCACCAGACCCACTAGTGTGCCGACGCGCTCCGTGTACTGCGTGTAGCTATACGTAGTACTTATTATTATTCTGTGGTAGGAGTTAAGACCGCACGTACCGGCGGCGACGGTGTACAGACGCAGCGCGCGGTGCGGCGGCCGCAGCAGCAGGCAGGCGAGCGGCAGCGGCGACTGCGCCTCGAACGCCGCGCACTCCTGCCGGGCGGCGGCGTCCACTCGCCGCACGCTCTCCACGAGACCCACTAGCGTGCCCACTCGTTCCGTGTACTGCGTGTAGGCCTGGAAGGGAATTTAAATCAAAAAGGCCGCTTATACATGCTAAAAGTTCAATCAAACCACCGCGATCACACGCGAACAGCCGGCGTGCAGCGATGGTGATCAGACTTAAATGTATTGATCGCCATCGCTGCGCGCCGGCTGATCGCGTGTGATCGCGTTGGTTTGGCTGAACCTTAAGAAATGTCGCTGGGCCTACGCAAAAATTCGTGTCGTTTCTACACACGAACCGTGCACATTGCTCCGGCGCTGACCAAGAAATAATTCTTGTCTGCGCGAGATACAGCACGTGGCGGACACTGTGTGACAATTTTTCGTAGCTAGGTCCGACGAAATTCTAGTCTTGTCTGCAGCAGACACGGTGAAATTCCTTAGCATGTACAAGAAGCTTAAAGGTCATTTACATCATAAAAGATCTTAAGGCCTCCGCCAAAACTTGCGCGGGCGCCCCCGCGCTCATTTCTGTACCGAAAATTAGACTGCGCACGCGTCGGATGCGTACCGTTTCGTCCGTACACCCGCTAGTTTTAGCGGAGGCCCTTAATAATCCATCCTGTCACTACTCTATGAAATTATACTGTGACTGATTTCAAAAGGTACTTACATCATACGTATTCGAAAGGTATTCTAGTAGTAACTCATCAATTTTTCTGTATTCCGGTTCCTCGTTATCTGTGAACAATATTATTATTTCGTTCAAATCGATCACACACATCCACATTGCTAATGTAGGGAAGTTAATTAATGCTAGTTGTAAAATATGTTACTGCAAATACAAATGGCTGTAGATCAAAATCAAAAATCTAAATTATCTTTATTTGCATAGACTAATTAAATTAGTGCTCACAAATCGTCAAATGCTCTTAAGGAGCCTATACATGTCTCATTCTTTTTTGCCCTACCAGCGCTTTGAGACAAACTTTTGGCAAGTGCTGAGTAGAAGCGCCGTAACAAGCAAGTCCGAGGATCTGTATATCTGTAATAACTTTTTTAAAAAATAAAACCCTTTTATAATCGGCGGAGATATTGCGTATAAAAAAGTTCATCCCCAATTTTCCACCCTTGGGGGTTGTTTTTTCTATTATTAAATTTAAATGGGACCACCCTTGAGGTATTACCTATACGCCGAAAAAAGGAATGGTTTAAATCGGTTCATAATTGGCGGAGTTATCGCGTAACAAACATAGAAAAAAAAAAACATACGGGTCGAATTGAGAACCTCCTCCTTTTTTTTGAAGTCGGTTGAAAATCACGTTTGAAGTGGGGTTTTGTTATAAATAACTAAATAAACAGTGTTCAGGCACACATGCTTTCAATGAGCACGGTACGATTGCGCGGGACCTATTTAAATCTGCCGCCAACTCCGTCCCGCCAAAACTTACACGGCGAGCGCGCGCGACTACCAGCAGCGCCGCGCTCCACGACGGCAAACGAACGAAAACTATGCAACGCGCTCTCTCGCGTCTGGGCCGGCTTCGCGAGTGCCACGCTTATTGTGTGCTCCAACGGAAATGTGAAATTTGGTGACTTTTTGGAAATGTTTTGTGTGTGAGGCCTCCACCGTACTTTGCTTGAAGTTAGTGAACCACCGAAGACACCGGGCGAAGCCCTAACCACCGGCCGGCGGCATCCTACAGAGTACCTACCAGCAGCGCGGCGGCAGACAAGGTACCTGTTCGATTGTTTCTGTGTTTTGTTGATTGTGTTGTGCCTGGACGACACTGGGGAACTCATATTCGGATAAGCTATCGAAGTAGTTAACAAACAGCATACCCAGATCGTCGTGCGACGGCGCGTGCGCAGCGGCGAGCGTGCGGTCCAGCCGCGCCAGCAGCGCGCCGCACGCCAGCGCGAGTGGCTCGAGCGCTAAACACGCGCGCGCTAAGGCGTACGTACTTGTTCACGTTGCCTCGCGGGCGCGGTGGCGGGCGCGGTGACGAAATATCAAACATACAGTCGTGGTCAACTAATTAGGGACAGATATAATACTAAGCAATACTAAGTGTTCATATCCTATTATTGTGAGCTTCATTCAATATTACTGGCTGTTACTTTGTAAACATATTGACTATCAAGTACTCTATTTAACAGAATACAATAACAACAAAAAAACTTATTAACTTAATAAAAAATCTTAATCAAATCACATGAATCGGTAATTATGGTACGGACGGCCTGGCCACCTAATTAGGGACGGTTAAGTTTTTCCTTCTAAATTAAAAAAATAAAAAGTAATAACTTTTATTCTGTTCATTTGTAATTTCGGCGTCAATTTAAAAAGCGATATTCTTATCTTGCGAGTTAAAAACTCATCAAATTATGAAAGGTAATGGGCTGAAAGAAAAGCAACAATGCGCTAAGTTATAATCAATCTTTATCAGTGTGGATGGCCATACCGGTAAATTGCAGATCATCTGAAATGTTCCAAAAACATGAATCTACGATGCAGTGGCTTATTTCAAAATCATGAAACCACAGAAAGTATGCCTAGAAGGAAGAGGCCAATAAAAACAACCCCACAAGATGGATCGCAGAATGGTCACTCTCGCAAAGAGAGACCCCTTTAAGGGTTTCGTTCTGATCAAGAGCGAGATTTTTGGACCAGAACCGACTGCTGGAGTATCTGCGAGGACCGTCGGAAGGCGACTGGTGGAGGCAAAGCTTGTAGGAAGAGTTCCTCGAAAAGTTCCACTACTGAAGATGGAACACAAAGAAGCAAGATTGGCGTTTGCAAGAAAGTATGGACATTAGGCTTTTGCTCAATGGATAAATGTGCTGTTTTCTGATGAAATCAAGATAAATCTTATTTCATCCGATGACAGACAATACGTGCGACGACCTGTAAAGTCCGAAATGATACCAAAGTAAACGAAGAAGCAGGTGAAACATACAGGCGGCAAAATAAAAATCTGGGACTGTTTTTCTGGACATAGAGTGTAACCTATAAAAAGAACTGAAGTTAAACTTGAGCAATTCCAATACAAATAAATATTGGAGAAAACGATGCTATCGTATGCTGAAGAAGTCTTACCAGTCTCATGAACATTTCAACACGATAACGACCCAAAACATACCGCGTACTCTGTTTAATAATTCCTAGCGCAACAGTCAGTGACGGTACTAGATTGGCCCGAAAACAACTCAGACTTAAGCCCTATAGAGCTTATGGTATGAAACGAAGGAAAAAGTTGCAGCTCAACGTACTGGCACTAAAAATCAGCATTTCGTGGCATTTAATGGTATTTGGAATAATATTTCTTTAGAAACCTGTAATGATTTGATTGCATCCATGCCGCGCCGATGTCAAATGGTTATAACCAACAAAACCAACCATATTGGTTATAAAAATACGTTTGATGATTTTGTTTTGTATTCTATATTTATTAATGAAAACTTTTTATGTAATAAACACTTAAATAATTTCCAATTTATTTACATTTACAGTAAAAATGTTACGTGTCCCTAATTAGTTGTCCATCCCTAGGTCAATAAATGTGTAGGTGGCAATGATTTATTTATTTCAAAAATATTGATCGCAACTAGCTAGTTTCTTTTCTGGCCTTTAAATATTTAGAATACTAGCCAAATTACTTGTTATTAATAGGCACAAGCTACAAAGCCTCGTGAAGATTTTTTTTTGGGACTGGAGAGACGGTCTTGTGTTTTAGTCATATAACGTCCCTAATTAGTTGACCACGACTGTATGTAGTGATTCCAAGTGTTCACGTACGAAACGCAGGTGCGGTCTAACTAGCGGGCAAGCTAGCGACTGGCGCGCGCGGAGCGCTCGCGGTAATTTCAACGCGTGAAGATGTTTGTGTGTGTTCATGTCAAACTAGCGGCGGCGTGCGCGCGCGCACGTCACACTCGCGCGAACGCCTGGTGGTTAATGTGAACACGAGCTCGCAACGTTACCCGCGCCCGCACCCGCCCCCGCGCCCGCGCGTACCTACGTGAACAAGCACTACGAAGTCGCGGGCGGCCGCTAGTAACTAAATAAACAGCGCACCCAGCTCGTCGTGCGGCGGCGCGTGCGCGGCGGCGAGCGTGCGGTCCAGCCGCGCCAGCAGCGCGCCGCACGCCAACGCTAGTGGCTCGAGTGCTAAAGCCCGGTCCGTGAGCACGTAGAATTTTGTCCAATGACCCCAAGCTACCCATCCTTATCGCTCGCGCGTAATTATGTTGCTATCGCGCTCGCACACTCACTGCGGGCGCCCGTCGCACAGTCGCGACAGCAATATAATTACGCGCAAGCGATAAGGGTGGGTAGCTTGGGGTCATTGGACAAAATTCTATGTGCTCAAGGACCAGACTATATAGACGCGCGCGCTAAGTTAATAAATAAACAGCGTACCCAGCTCGTCGTGCGGCGGCGCGTGCGCGGCGGCGAGCGTGCGGTCCAGCCGCGCCAGCAGCGCACCGCAAGCCAGTGCTAGAGGCTCGAGCGCTAAGCACGCGCGTGCTAGGGCACCCGCCGCTTCCGCGCTCGCGCTCCCGCGGGCCGCTAAAGATGATACGCGACGCGACCACGACTGCAAGCAAAGGTAAGAGGTATTAAGATATCAGTGGGCTGAATGTGAGTTTAAATCAAACGCGCTCACTAGTGAACTTTTTAGTTTTTGGACGTTTCCCGCAGGGTTCGAGGATATATATCAAGGGATATATATCAAGATATATATCAGATATATATCGGATATATATCCGATATATATCCAGCCGGTTTTGATGATGTATATCAACTTTTAAAATTTGTTACTGTATTTGTACTTTTTGACATAAGATTTTTATTTTTTTAGTTGATTTTGCCGTATTTAACAGAATATTTTATGTTTTTGCTTTATTTGTCTGATTTTAAGTTTAAAAACATTAAAAACATGTTTATGTAACACATATGCAATAGTATTCATGAATAATACAATAAAATAATACTATGGCTTTCATACAAAATTGATATATATCAAAGTTGATATATATCGGATATATATCATAAATATCCGATATTTTGATATTTATAATAAATATCGGATATTTTCGAACCCTGGTTTCCCGCTACGGGCGCTGTACGTACAATCAGTCATACATTTAATGTCATTTTTTGAGTGAGCGCGTTTGATGTGAACTCACACTATAGTCTGGTCTGTGAGCACGTAGAATTTTGTCCAATGACCCCTAGCTACTGATCCTTATCGCTCGCCCGTAATTATATTGCTGTCGCGACTGTGCGACGGGCGCCCGCAGTGAGTGTGCGAGCGCGACAGCAACATAATTTATTTTTATTTATTTTATTTATTTATTATTCATTATTGAGCAATTACATATTTGATCCAAATAGCGTCCTAAATCCTTTTTAGGTTTAATTACGCGCGAGCGATAAGAATGGGTAGCTTGGGGTCATTGGACAAAATTCTACGTGCTCACAGATACACAGTCCAACCTGATATCCAACATGTTAGTGAAACTTGCTCCTCCCGGGGCTTTCGAAAACTGACGCAAGAAGGGACGTAGACTGATTGTTGATGATACTGAATAAACATTTCTTCTTTCTTTATTTCTAGACCCCTTTTACTTGGTAAGACTGCACGGAGCGAACCGAATGCTAGAAGTAGTAAAATCTGCCTTCCCAACTCATATGGCTAACGCATGACACCGCCAGACTTTTAGTAGATAGGCCCTGCCCTTTTGGCAGGGAAACTTGATTATTGTTTGCAAATTCTTTTAGACATCCCTTACGACATCCACGGAATAAATAAATAAATCTTTATTAATTTCTTCACAAGTAAGTTTTCAATTACATATTGTACATAACAATATAACGCATTTTTAAACAATATTACTTATTGTGAAGACTGGTGCTTGATATGGGTTGAGACAACCTGTAATACAAGACACCAGAAAGACTGAGAGTGGTCATATCGTACTCTGTTGTTATTACACGCACTAACACAATATTTAAACACTGTGAATGTGACGTCACCGTTCCAGAACTCACCACAGTGACGAGCTCCAGGTCCCGCTTGTAAGTGCGCTCGGTCATGAGCAGCTCTTTAGCTATGAAGTATGTCAAATCGGCGCCGCGACGCTTCGCCGCGTCTATCGTGCCGTCACGCACCGCCGCCGTCAGGTTTGATGATATGCTGACAAAAAGAAACAAAATAAATCATTATTGAATTATTGCAACCAATGTTTTTTACATTTGTACAGTCGCGGAATGAAAAGGTTCGTCACCTTAGTGTCGATTTTCGCTTGCACTAGGTACTGTAAGAGTCAAATCTGCCAACATAGCAGTGCAAGAAACAGTGCTGCTAACATTTAAATAAATATGACGTTTGCTAACGAATAAGGTTTTGCTTGTTTATTTTTCTATCTCATCAGTGCAATGCAATGATGACATTGACCAATTGACAATAGTTTTTTTTTATTTAATAGAAATAATAATGGCAGGTTCAATCAATAAGGTTTTAGTTTATCAATCATAATAATCTTCTTGATAAGATAAATCGTCAAACAACTTTGATCTGAATAATTTTGAACTTTACTGACGAACGTTAAAGATTATTTTCTCTAACACGAGATTATTCTGTAACATAGTTTCAAAAGGTAATATGTGCTCGCGATTCGTTGAAGGAATCAATTTGAAAACTGACGAACCTTTTCATTCCGTGACTGTACATCTTTTTTACATACAGTGTCAATAAATTATTGAAGAAATTCTTACCTATTGTTGTTGTTATTCCGCCTTTGCAACGTGTCACCGGCGTCGCTTTCACCTCCGCTCAAAACGTCCATGCTGTATGTTGATTCTGAGACTATGTTTACTGAAACAATTCAAAATAAACTTTTTTTCATGATGTTACCCTAAGCAATAGGCTAGTTTCCTAAAAAATATTATTAGTCCGTCATGTTTAATATCAAAAAATATTGGACACATATATTTTTATTTGTCAATCTAACAAATAATTACATAGTTATGGTGCGTTGAAGTTTTATGCACGCATTGACGCATCTTCTTATGAACTTTGGCGCGTTTTATCTCTTTAAATTTTCATTAGTTTGAAAAAGTGAAAAATACGTATAGAGTATTTTTTGAAGTTAACTGACGGACTAATTAAAACTCTTGCTTTTTGACCCAGGAAACATCCCTATTGACAACAGACACGGACGTTTTCGACAAGGGTAGAATTTAACAAAAGAAACATTTGGTGAACTAATGAAACGAATGAACGAACGAAGAACATAAACTGTCATAGTGTTTGAGATCGAATCACTTGGGCTTGTGAGCTTCGTCAGGTGATGTAAGGCTCTCTCCTCCAGGAGAGAAAGCTACCCATTAAAATCCACCAATCTCCGTCTTCCAAACTCACCATTGACATTCCCATTAATGACGTCCGAGCTGGCCTTGTCCACTGCATCATGGCCGTTGGTCAAGGCATTTATTGTATTCGTCTTAACCACCAGAGGCGTGGACGCACACAGCGGCGCCTCGGTTCTCTCAGCCGGCGTCGGCGACATACACAGGCTCGCTGATGATATAGTGTTCTCAAACTCACCATTGACATTCCCGTTGATGACGTCCGAGCTGGCCTTGTCCACTGCATCATGGCCGTTGGTCAAGGCATTTATTGTATTCGTCTTAACCACCAGAGGCGTGGACGCACACAGCGGCGCCTCGGTTCTCTCAGCCGGCGTCGGCGACATACACAGGCTCGCTGATGATATAGTGTTCTCAAACTCACCATTGACATTCCCGTTGATGACGTCCGAGCTGGCCTTGTCCACTGCATCATGGCCGTTGGTCAAGGCACCCGTTGTGCCCGACTTGACCGCAAGTGGCGTTGACGCACACAGCGGCGCCTCGGTTCTCTCAGCCGGCGTCGGCGACATACACAGACTCGCTGATGATATCGTGTTCTCTTCTGTTTCGTCCGGAGATATCTCGTCTGTGATAGAAAAATACACTTTAATATTGAGAAATATAAATTGACATAATAATAATAATATACTACTGGGTGTGGTGATTTAGATACCTGGGGGCGTAGTGTGAGTTTACATCAAACGCATTCGATATAGACTGCGTTAAAAAAATGTATGAAAATTTTAGTTCTTTAAAGTTTCCGCTAGGGGCGCTGTACAATCTTTCATACATCTAATGTCGCTTTTTTACGCAGTCGATATCAAATGCGTTTGACGTAAACTCACACTACGCCCACTGCAATAAGTTAGTGGTATTCACATAAAAATAAACCACTTTTACTATGGGAACAAAACTGTATTTGCAATTCATCTTCAGGACAAATTAGCGCGCTACCTCAACGGTAATGTAAAGGATTTAATATTTTTACAAATTTGATACTGCATCTTTAATAAAGTAGCAGATAACTAAATCTCCATCCCATCTATGACTACAGAGATATAAGGATACAACGTGAAATAATTAACATCTATGAAAAAAGGGAATAAATAAGAAAAAACAATAAGAAAGGAAAGCGAGACCTGAAAAGAAAACTAAAATAATTAAAAAACCTGAAAAAAAATCTTAATCATGCATAAAAACATTATTGGTAATAACAAATAAGTGCATTAATAAAAAATACAGAAATCATAATAAGCATGCATTGTGTTGTGCTACATACAACTTACATATTATTCCTTGCAGCTTGACAATTTGAATAATTAATTGGGCCGAAATTAAAGAACAAAAATGTAAAACATTGCATTGAAACATCTCGATATCAGTTTACTTTTATTTATTCATTTAACTATTCCCGACCGCGGGGGCCGGCGTCGTGTATTGCAGGGATACCGTACACTTACACATATAAATTCAAAAAAGGAAGTAACATTTCAACACTTGAAACAATATCCAAATACGTGATATACAATACAAATTAAAACAATGAATGAAATCGTAACGTTACAGTCTATTCGGATTGTACAATCTCAATCGAAAAGTCGAAGTTCTTATACACTATGATTCTTTAAACCGATTGTTATTGCGCTAACTAGGGAGGTCGCGACCTCTTATAGCTAATAGTCTAAAATTGCTTCGTGCACACGCGTTCACATTTAGCTTATTTTCATTAATTGAACACTGCACTCAGTGGCAGACAGACACAACTAGTCGCCACTGACGTGCATAAGAAAACCGACTACTATTCGAGACAACAAAAATTATATCTGCAATTTTAGGAAAGGCTGCGTTTAGGATCACAATTTCGATGATTTGGCACAAATTGGTTTGGTATCGAACGCAGCCTTAAAACTTATAAAACAACATTGCAAGTTCAATCATGATGACTCGATGCTCATACGAATAAATGTTTTTGATTAAACGTCGGCTTGGTCACATTGTGAATATTATGAGCGAAATACAACATTAGATCATCACGATTAAATTTCGAGATTTTATACATGAGAAGATTTAAAATTACTAACGAATCCAACAACAGTTAAAATCTGCAATAATAATTTAGAATACTGCCCTTAACGATAAATAGTAGCTTCACTTTTATAGATCAAAATCCGATAGTGAATTGATTGTAATTGTAACAGAAGGATGTTCCCTGTCTTACTATCAATCGTAAAGGCAGATTAAAAAGACAAGCTTAATAATACTTAACATTTGTACAATTGACATTTTAATAACAAAATTAAAATAAAATATATTTTATTTAGTGCACGTTCCAACTATCTAGGTATTTGACTAGACACATTTCTTATTAAACATTAAAATAATTCAACGGGAAGACGAGGTTGAAATGGCAATGCCAGATTTTGTATGGAAAGTGGCGTCTTTTTTTTTTCGCGCGGCCATCGACCAAACTTTGTTTTTTGATTACAAAATAGTGTAATAAACCAAACTTACAATAACATGTATACCTCTAAACTCAGTCTGAACTGAGTTACGAGCATTAGAAGTTTGATTATTTTCATACTAGATTTGCTTTTTGTGCGCAAGTTTTGTAAGGTATAGTATANTTAGTTACTTCGGAGTAAAAATTAAATTCATAGGTAGGTAGGTACTATCTATGCCTATGGCCAGTCATGTCGTCTCGTTCTATCGCAAAGAATCACCATTTGATAAGAGCGAGAGCAAAAACGGAAATGGATAGTTAACACTGGCCGTGTGTACTTATTTCACTTACTTATTTTTTACTTGTTTAACATCTCTTTAAAAAATTACATAATTTTACCCCAAAAATGGGGGTGTCACACGGCGCTAGTAACACTAAAGGGGGTAGAGGGGCGCGGGAGGGGAAGTATTTTGGACACAAGTTGCCGCGTAGAAATGTTATCGAACACTCCTTCTGGTTTGTTCTGTATTCTGAGCAAAAAACAAAGTATGGTCGATGGCCGCGCGAAAAAAAAGACGCCAATTTCCGGCATTGTCTTTTAGCAGCATACGCTGACGTTAAGCACTCAGAGGGATAAATTCTTTCAATAAACTTCAAACACCGTTTTCAATAAAATAAGTTTAAATTAACTACTACATAATAATCAACATAAAACAACACTTTGTCGGTAATGGTGACTAACAAATTATAATATTTTTCATCTTTAATTTATAACTAACCCTGTATAAGATGAAAAGAATACTCCGTTTTAAAACTATACCGACATTGCATTCGTCTAAATTGTCTACAGCCAATTGAATAAATTGATCATTTACGATTCTAAATCAACTAGATATTACATTCATATATCTGATTTATGCTATTTTACTACAATACTCATGTTTAAGTCACGTCTATCAATTCAACACCCAATTCGAACTAGTACCGAAAATTGCTGGTATTTTATGTCGAAATGAATGCCTTGGTAATTGAAATAGAAATAAAACATTTGGATAATGAAATTGGCAAATTATTGTAGCAAAAATAATGACGGGTCACCTTATGGACCATCTTGTATACATTATTTTATGAGTTCGCTGAAATAAATGAAAATTGATGTCGCGACAAGCTTTTATCTGCGAAATAATAAATCAGGGGCGATTAACTAATATTTTATACATTTACATATTGCTGATTTATTGTGAATTAGGAGCAGCAAGTTTAGATTACTTATCGATATACTAACATTACCCATTGATTTACTTCTTAAGTCCGAACTAAGAGGTGGATTATATTATTAGGTATATGACTAACTAGAATATTTTAGGAAACAGTTTTAGTAACCGAATTACATAGCTACAATGGCAGTTTCATCGCAAGGTCTATCTAGGTTTGTATACTTAATGATTTAGGGTGAGGATGAGAAGCAATTGGAGAGGATCTCGGTCGTGTAGAGCTTTGGCACTATAACGCGTTGGGAACATTACTTATGTTTTTGAGAAGCTGCGGGGTTACTCCGAAAAACGTTATCAGAAGTTTCGAGTGTTGCCATCCCTCTCACGCAAAGCGAGATGCCAGTGTGAGCGACGGTGTCAGATAGACTCGAAACTACATAAACAGCGTTTCGTAGTAGCCCTGCAGGCATCAACAATAGCATGCTTTGGTGGTTGCATTGCCATAACCATAATTTATTCAAAAAGTGGCCTGAAATAACTAGTAAATCAGAAGCCATGTAAAGTAAAACAGCATACATCAATAGTAATTTTACTAGTGTCACCCTTCTAAATAAAAACCGAAGTTTTTTAAGTTACTTGTTTCCAAACTGATGTCACATCTATTTGCTTAAACAAATAAGCTTCTAAGCTAGAATTTCGTCTAATTTTTCGTTACTTTTAAGCCAAATTTAACCAATCGATGCTTCGCTCAAAGTACGCAACATTTTGCTTATCAATAAAATAAACTATTTGATAAATCCATCATCCGCACACTCGCTCAGTTTAACAAATCTAAAAAGGCAAGTAATATTGTGTAATTTATTCCATTATAAATAAAGAAGCTTAAATTAAGAGATCAAGAAACGACAAACAATCCACACCCAATCGTTCATTTCGATGACTGGCAATTTACACTACGCACTCGCACAACATGAAATGTTCATAGTTCCGATTACCATTACCTTATTGTAAGACAAAAATATGTTAAAACCCTTTAAAAATTATCATAATAATAAAGGTGGAAAAAATTGAGCATATTTGGCACGATTGCAGATCCCATTATGTTTTCGTTAGTCTAATTGATGATTAAATTAATTTCCAAGCGGTATAATCGTAAGGGAATGTGTTATTGCAAGTCTAGCGACCTTTTCTAAAGTATTCCAATTTATACATAGTTGTTTTCATATTGTTTCATATTTTTCTTAAATATTGTTACCCTCCGATGTTTTAACAAAAATTAAGAATTTTGTGCGTCTTAAAATAACTGACCTGCCATTACTAATTTTCATCGGATTTCTGATTCGAGACAGTAATTTCTAACTAGAATCACAGATCAATTTTTGCATGTAGAGCAACAAGGGTGCTTTTGACACTGTCGATATGGTCGAAAAAATATTTATTTAACCTGTTTAGTAATAGTGGCATATTCCACTTTATGCGAATAAGTTTATTACTGACTCGAATTTAGAAAGTCGACTAAAGCAATAAATCAATAATACTCATTGATAAGACTTTGATCTAGGATCCCACCACACAAATTAACTCACAGCCGTATACATAATATATTTATGTTAATATAAATTCAACTAACATAATTTATTTTTTATAATAAATGCATAATTATTTAGTGCATACCTTTCAGCTTAGCCGCAAGGTAAAAAACGAAGATGAATAACATTTTAATAGAGACAATTCAAATCGTATTATAATATTAATATTGACCAGAAGTTCGTGAATAAGATGCTAATATTAAGATATTTCAATCAGTACACATAACTACACCTAAATACTTAATAAGCTAAAAGTAGGTAGGTATAAGTTCGCATTATACACGATTAGTCAAAGGGTTGCTCTATCGGGATTGGCACTAAATATTTTTTTTATTAATTTTCATCTAAATATTCAAAATGACAATGTAAATATTTAATGGGTACCCTAATAATATCAATGTAACAATTAAACGCGTTAGTTAGAATTCAAAATCGAAACGCATAAGTAGGACGCTTGCACACATACGATCATCCAAGACGAGGGTGACATCGACAAACTAATCGATCAAGCTAAGATTGCTTCAGTGCGTTTATTCGTGCTCGTCGTCGGAGCAGAGCGGCGGCGGCAGCGTCGACACGTCGAACTTCTGCTCCGGGCTATCGCTGGAAGCTTGCGAGTCTACGTAGTGGCTAGAGTAAAACCTCTCAACATTGTTCAAACTGAAACGTTGGTCCAGGTCTCGGGTGTAGTGCTCCTCGTCGCCCTCGCGGCGCTCCAGCTCGTGCTCGTACTGCGGGTAGCACTCCTGCGTCTGGAACATGTCCACCTCCTCGTAGTGCTCCGGGTACGGGCTGCCGCGGTACTCCTCGTACTCGTCTTTGTCGTGCGGCAACTCCGAGTCAGAATACGCTACAGACTCTCCACGCTCGAAGAGATAGCTGCCAGATTTAGACATTTTCGGAGCTCTTTTTATCGTATCGATCGGGTAAGCGTAATCGTCAGAATCATCCCGGTCGCTTTGTTCATCGTAGTAAACACGGGGTTGATGCTGACCCGAAGGTTCGCCCAACTCTTCGGGTTGACGGTACCCGGTTGACTTGGTCCTCTTCAGGGATGACTGACGGCTGCTTTTATTGGAATAAGAAACTCTGGGCGGGCTATCCTCCGGTACGTAAGGCGGTTCCTGGGAATCGAGGTAAGGATGACGCAGGCGACCCAATCTGTCAAATCGCGGGAAACCCATTTCATCCTCATCGGCCGAAGAACCGAAACCTTGGAACTGAACTGGCGTTATACTGATAGGAAACTGTTGAGCCTCATAGTTGGCACTTTTGTATTTTGCGTATTCGGCTTGGCCCTCATCTTCAGAATAACTAACAGATTCTTGTACATCATAGTTCTTGGAATCTTTTGAAACTTCTGAGGAACCAGATTCCACTTCTGGCACATAGCTATCAGAACACTCGGAACTCTCCATACGCCGTAGTGTATCTTCGACTGCCAAATACTGTCCACCGTGGAACTTGTCACTTTCCGAAGAACATTGACTTTTAGTCGAATCTTCCTCCAACACATCTTGTATTTTCTCCTGTCTCTTCCTGGCACTCGTAACCTGCTTCTTGCGTCGGAACGTTCTCATTCTTTCTCTGGGATCTCTTATGACATCTAAAGAGCTATCAGTATCGTTGCCACTCGGAGGGCTTTTTAGGGAAATATTTCTGACCAAAAGCGATTTCTTGACTGGTGTTTTCAGAGGCTGTATCGGAGGAGACTCGGAACTTAAGCTACTAGAATAATAAGGCGAACAGCGGGAAAGAGGTGTCTTCCCAGATCTTTCACCCGACTTTTTCTCTTGTACTTCCCTGTGAATAGAAGGCAACTCTGGTACTGATATCATTGGCAACTCAGACGATGCTAGGTAATGTTCATGGAAAGACCAACTCTTCGGCTTACTGCGATATTGTGCCGAGGTCTTATATTCCTTTATTTGGTTTTTCGATAAAGTTTTATCATCATAACTAGCATGTTTGGCTAACGGCTTATAGTCTGACCTCATGAAGTGATTGCCATCTTCTCGTATTATATTCGAAAATTCCTGACTTTGATACCGTTCACTGTGCTTTTCTTCTTGGCTGTAAAGTTGAGAAGGCATGTCGATGTCGAGCTCAGGTTGAGGAGCCACTACGTAAGGTTTGAAACCACTATCCTCACTTTGACAACGTACTGTTGGTTTCATATATCTGTGGCCCTGTTCTTCGTAGCTCATACTTTTCGGTGGTGCTTTCTGATAACGATCTCCATTTTGGCCTGTCTGGAAACCCTTGAGCCTTTGGTCAAAGCGAAGCACACCGTTTGTATGTTTCTGCAAACTACTCAGTGAGCTTGAACTTGATTTATCAGACTTATCACTGTAACTAATTGATGAAGATTTTTCAGTCTTACCGGTGTATGAAGCAGTAAGTCTAAGAACTGGTTCCTTCGTTTCAAACATTTCTTTCGTTGGCGATGGCTCTTTAATTACTGGGATTTCTTCGTCGACTGGTTCCTCAATATTTGGCACGACTTCAGATATAATAGTATGGTCAGATTTAGTGTTATCATTTTCATGCTGATCTTCACGAGCTGTCGCGATAAGTGTATGACTGGTACTAGCTGACCAATCTGATATGGATTGAGCCAGTGTTAGAGTGCTGTCACTCTTGGTCCCTGAACTACTGTCTATACCTTTTCTTGATATAGTTGTTTCCGAGCTACACAATTTATCATACTTTATGTTTTCAGAGCTTTTATCTAAACTGCTGCTTTTGGAACTCATTTCACCTTGAGAACTGATTTTCGGCTTTTGTTCAGATTTTTTGCTCGCACGAGAAGATGTGTACACTTTCCCAGAAACATTATCAGATTTCTCACTTTTAGGAACGGATACAGCTGAAATACTCTCTGAAGCTGAAAGATTCGCGTATTGGCGAACAGTGTTAGTTCCAGTGGACCACTCTGATATGCTTAGACATATAGAAGTATCTTCTGAATGGGAGCTATGAGTGCATTTCTTTGGAGGCAAACCTATTTTTACAGTCCCATCTAAATCAGTACCAAACGAACTGGTTTCTTCCTCCGAATGACTACTATGACTACATCTTTTACAGGTGCCAGCGCTACCAGTACTAAGTTTAGTCACGGCCCGTACTGTGTCGTCGGCATTCGTTTGCGATTGTGATAGCAAATCATCAATAGATGTATCAGAATTATTTGACCCATATGAGTACTTTTGAGTACCTAGTTGTGAGAAGCCTTTATCAAAATCGGGCGATAGCGACTTACTGTCGCCTCCGAAAACGTCATCCGCATATAAATGATCGTCTTCGAAAACAGGACTATGATTTGTGGGAGACTTTTGTGGTTGATTTATGATAACTTTATCTTCCAAGTTACTCTTTATGGCGAAGGATTTATGCTCGGAACGCGTGCAACAAGCCCCCATATCCCCCATAAGACAAGTTGCTTTGCTGATGGTTCCACTCAAGCAAGACTTATCATAACTTGGCACTACCCCTTTATGACACGCCGATTCATCATGCTTGTCTAAAGGTTCCACCATGTAACTGGACTGATCGTAAGGTATGACTTTAATATTTTTCGGTGAAGATAAATCACTGTGTTCGGTTGACTTTTCAGATTTTGATTCCGGAATATCTTTTTCTAAATCATCATCGTTATTCAAAGTATCACTATCATCATCAGATCCTATATGACCCTTGGAGCTTTCAGACTGTAATGTGACCTTGGTAGCCTGCTCTGGTTCATTACTCATGTAATAAATATGTACTTTTTCAATAATAGGTGTCTCCAATAAGTTCGGCGGCAGAGGTGGCCAATGCTCACTGCCGGAGTCACGCCTGCCATCACTACCGTGCTTGATAGCAACCTGTGGAGGCAACTCAGGGAGAGGCCAATCTTCTGAATCTTGACTCTCACTTGCAGATGACTGCTTAGTTGGCGGTTTATGAGAAGTTTTTGACTCTTTTTTGGGCTCCAAAGAGTCTCTATTTACGTCTTTCTTGGTTTCAGCGTACATCTCACTTATTTTCGTTTGATCTATTGGAATGTCAGGCATTTCTGCTGATGTTCTTCTATCAGTATCCGAGATATACGCAACATTAGCATTGCTTGGAGGATCAGAACTCAAACTAGCTTGATGGTCGCTAGAATTCAGCGATTCCTCGTTTATACTTTCAGACCGAGAGCAAGCTTTCGTCGAATCTTCATCCGCACTAGTTTTTTCAGACGCAGTACTACGCTCAGAAATTCTGGATAACGTGCGACCAAAGTTTTGGCCATACCCGATAACTACATCAGATGATGTAGAAGAAGTAGCAGGATACAAGAAATTCACTGGAAAATCATTAAGATCGTCAGTAAAATCAGCTTCTGTAGAATCTTTAGAAGTATTGGACGATAGAGGCGGATTTTTCGAAAATGTTTGGAAGTCATCAAGTAACCTCTGATCGAATACTTCTTTGTTTAGAGCCATGCTTTCATAACCTTCGTGGTCTTGCGGTATCCATGCTTCTTCTATACTTGTACTATTCTCACTTCCCGAAGCACCAAAGAATGGCCGCCATGTTGGTTTCAATTCTTCACCACGACGATAAGCCTCGCCCAGTGAACCTGATGTAGATTCTGTAGTTTCAAACGATCCTCGTGATTCCACGCTGAGAGAGCCCCTTGAATCCATACTAGATTTAGAAGAACTTTTTTGATCATCAAGTCGCCTTCTTCTCGAAGATGAGTCATCAACGCTCAGCGATCCTTTCGATGGAGTTGTCGTTGTCGTCGTATCCATACTGGATTTAGATGAACTTTTTTGATCAGTATCTTTAAGGGATCTTTTCTTCATTAATTCGCGTTCAAATGACGAAGTTATGACATTACCATCATCGTCAAAGTCGATAGTTGTGTTTTGATCTTCTTGTGATATTGTGATGGCAATTTTAGTTTTCTTTACTGTCTTTTGTAACTCTTTTTTCAAGTCTGATGTTTTAGAAGCAGCCGACTGACTTGACTCAGATTCCTCAATTACACACTTTCCTATTTTATCCAATCCACTTTTTCTCGGTCGAGATAATCGTTCGACAGTTTTATCGATGCTCTCAGAACTAGAATCTGAATCAGTTGGTGCCTTTTGTGAATCAACCTGCCCTTGTTTTTCCAAGGTAGGAGTCGGCGATTTTCTTGCGCCATATTTAGACGGGCTACGAGGACTTTCAATACGTGTAAGTTCTGGAATTGGTGATGGTGATTTTGAATTTGATTTGGAATGATCACTGGATAACGTATGTTGCGACAGTAAATGTTCTTCGCCGTATTCCATAGCTTGTTTCAATTCTTCCAAGCATTCCCTGTCTTTCTTATTTAATTTTTCTATATCTTGTGATATGCCCAACGGTCTAGCAATAGAACAGCTCACACTGGATTCATCATCAATGGAGCTTCCTTTAATATTTGCGCTGGAAGGACTCACGTCTTTCTCAATACTGGTCCAAGAAGTAGACTCCGAGCTTCTTGACCGTTCAGCGCTTAGTTTTAATAACTCATTGCGCCTTAATTTAGCTGTAAGTAGAGCTTTCTGATCCGGTTTTTGCTCAGTGGGAGACTTATCGCTACCAGAACTACCAGTATGTTCACCAGATTCAGATTTATTAGTTGATTTTGAAGTGCTCGAATCTATAAATGGTATATTCTCAATAGTAGGGCTGTTTTCTTGCGGCGGAGTGACAATAATTTTATTTTTATTTTTCCATTTGAGAGTCAGGTCTGTAGTTTTTGATGGATCTCTGTATACTTTACCTTCACGGTCGGTTTCACTTTCAGAAAACACTTGTGACATCGATTCTTGTTTCAAGAACTCCACTAAGCTTGCGGAAGATTCATCAAACGTGCCTTGGGTATCAAGAGCTTTTCGGCCTTTGCCGGTTTTGTTACTTGTGTCAGACAAAGCCAAATCAGTTTCAACAGTATATTCCTCATAATCTACCCAGGACCCAGTGTCGTCACTGCGGCCGCGCGATAATTTAGTTTTCTTATCCTTTTTCGATCCTTGATCTTGATCAGACGAACTATCAGCGTCGATATAAGGTAAAGAGATACCTAACATATTGCTTTCGTCAGACATTTTGAGTTCGCTTACCTCAGTCAACGATTCCTCTTCACTGGTCAACCGAGCGACTTCTGGTTTTCTTTCTGACTTGACCAATTCATGAACATCCTGATTACTTCTACTTTCCTGCAATTCTCTCTGCTTATTGTAAATATCCATTTTACGGCGTTCTATAATAACGGTCTGTGTATCATTTTCAATAACAGTATTTTGCGAATTAGTCATCCATTCCATAGACGAATCATCTTCTGTTCTTTCTTTGTAGCTATGAGACGGAGAAACATCTTTAGTTTCTTGCTCGATTGCCTTTTCTTTTTCAACTTCTTCTTGTACTACAGGATGAACATCAACTTTAACAGTTTCCTGTTTGAAATGCTTGTCTGAACCTTCTGCCAAAGCCGATGTAGGCGTAACATAATTTCTATCCAAACTTTTCGACTTTGTCTTTGAATCGAGATGAATTTCAGCCTTTCTGTCTAAGCTCTTAGACTTGGCACTCGGTGACATTTTCTGATAAACAACTTTACCCTCAATTTGTTGCTTTATTTCTTGCTTTTTAGATAAAGTTTTCGGTGATTTTTGCAAGGCAGCTAGATCATCAAACTTATCTTCTAGAGATTGGCTTGATTTATCATCCATACTCTTATTTATTTTGTTATTAGTTTTAGATGTCTTTTGATCTTCAAAGCTTCTGCTGATCTTGCCAGTTAATTTATTGTCGAGCTTTTTAGGTGATTTTGCAATAAAAACGTGGTCTTCAGCCTTGCTATTAATTTTTGTTTCAATTATTATTTTGTCCCCTTCGGTCTTAACCAGAATTTTGTCTTCTGGTGGTGGGAATGGCGGCATAGTATCTTTAACTGGACTTATAAGTGTCTTTGTCTGTTTCAAAGCCGCTTCAAAGAGCATTTGTTGCTTCTCCTTTCGTTTGGCAATTTCAGTATCGCTGTCTTCTTGCGATTTAGTTCTTTCTTTGCTACCTCCTCGTTTTATGTCCATTTTTTCTAACGACTTCGATTTCTCTCTGGAAACTTTCTTTGAGATTTGTTCCAGCTCTTGACTCTTGGCACGCGCAATATCAAGAGGAGGCACAGTCAAAAAGTCAGGTCGTTCTTTGAGTGATGAAGGCAAAGATTTTTGCGTTTGTAAAGCTTTAACTTTCGTGGCATTAGTATCTAGTGAACCTCCCTTATTTAATTTGCTTGTGCCTTTAGATTTCTCATCTGGTTTAGGCTTGAGAGTAAGTTTCTTCTTTTCTTTACGCTTAATTCTCTCAATATCGGGCACTATCTGATCTTCACTAAGGTCTGATAATTTCCTGATACTTCCTCTAGGTGAGTTCAAAGAAGACGTTGGAGATCTTGAAGGCGATTTAGATATCGGTGATCTCGATAAAGGCGATTTACTCATTGGCGATCGAGACGGTGACTTGGCTTGAGATGACAATTTAGTGAGATCATATCTACGTTTGAAAGACCTCGGCCGTCGCTGAGCTACTAAATCTTCTAACAGTTGCAACTCTTCCTGATCTATAACAACAGATTTCATTTCTTCAGCTTGCTCTGCTTGCTGAGACTCTTCTTCAACTTCTTCAATCTTTTCAATTGTATCTTTTTTCACAGTTGGCATTTTGTTTTTGTCGTCGATCAGAGGTTTTTCTTCCAGTATTTCACCTTCTTCGTTTATATCTTCAACGGTATCATCTTTAGAAGAAAACGCGTTCATAGGCGGGAGCCTGTGTAATTGAATGACAGGCGTGTCCAAGCTTTTAGCTCTGCGACTAGCTGTTGGAGAATTCTGAGTTGCTTTTTGTCTTTGCAAAGAAAATACTGAGCCCTCTGATAAGTTCAACCGAGCATGTGCGAAAAGAATAGGTGTTCCGCCAGGCTTACGTAGCATCGGCGAAATCAATTCATCGCGTAAACTCTTTTTGATATCAAGCTTATCTTTCTTGTCATCTTTTGAAGCTTCGCTCTTCTCCTCCGATTGTATACGTATTCCAGTAACTTTCTGAATTTCCATGTCAGCTAAATGTTCGTCATCTGATTTGAGAAATTCAGTACTCTCTAATATTGGAGAGGGGATGTTATCGTTATACTCCCATGTAGAACTCTCTTTACTGACTTGTTTAATTTCTGGAACGTTTTTAATTGCAACATCATCTTCAGAGCTCGGAATTGAAATTGAACGTTCAGATATACGTCGCAACTCGGTCGCATTCCCACTGACACTGTCAAGTATTTGAGGATTATATTTAGCTTCAAGTTCTACTAATTTACGACACTGAGGCGGTGACCCTTCTATCTCAGTCGAACTCATAGTTTGACCACGATGCCATGCTCCCGATGTAATTTTATCATACTCATGCTGAAGTATAGGTTCTAACTCTTTTCGAGATTGCGGGGGTGAAAACTCCAATTTTGGAGCAGCTTCAGTTGTACCGAAAACATCATCTGAATCCACACTCTCATCGTCAGATGAAAAAGACGTAATTCGAATCTTATTACTATTCTTCGTTTTTATTTTACCACCGGTCCCTTTTTTCCCAGTACCTCGACCTTTTGGACCTCTCTTTGGAGGCAGTTTTTCAGATTTCAATTTGATATCAGCGCGAAGTTTTTCCGCAGCTGTCATTGACTTTTGTTCTTTACCTATTGGCGGTTGTTGCACGTTACGACCGTTAATAGTGAACTTAATATCATGTGGATACTGAGGTTCCTGTCTGATGCTGTCAGTTTTGGAGCTCGTAGCCGAGTCGCTTTCTATCTGGCTGAGTTTAGAATTCAGAGTTTCAAGCAAAACCGGATCAAGATTTTTAGTGATATCCCGCTTAGGACTCGGCATGTGTTGCATCTGTCCACTCTTATCGACTTCTAATGTAATCGGATCCACCTTAGACAAGTCTATATTTTGCGTGAACAGGAAGTCACGACTCTCAACTTCCAAGAATTTGGAACTATGTTCAACTTGGATACTGTTTCTTGGCGATTTTGGCGATTTGGGCGACTTTGGCGATTTCGGAGATTTGGGCGACTTTGGTGATTTTGGAGATTTAGGCGACTTCGGTGACTTTGGAGACCGAGGTGACTTCGGATGATCGTGATACTTGCACCTAGGGTGCGCGCTGACAATGTGGCGGCCATTCTGAGGCGGAAGCATTATAATATCAGGTGGCTGTCTCTTGTCGTCGTTTGGAGACGGGGCCGTTCCATTCATAACGTGCCTTTTATGCAATACGTATGGTATGTCATAACCGTCATCGACAACCTTTTTGTTATCTTTGAATCCAGCTTTGAACGCGTCGAATTCTTTAAAGTAATTCTTTGGTAAATCGAAAGGTGGACGCACATGATCTGGGAGCCTTGAAGGCAACTCAAAGTGAGACCGTTTAGTTGCGATCGGTGGAGCGCTAGGAATCTGACGGAATATGTAGTCTTCGTCACTTGATTCTGCTGGAGTTAAATCGATTGACTTTTGATGCATCAAGACGTGTCTACGTGAATTGACACTACTGAAGCGCGGCCGATTGGCAAGACTATTCGGATCACTTTTAGTCCTTTCCACAGTAGGGTGGGTGTATGGAACAGCGGTGTCCGCCAAACGGCTACTGGAGCTAGTATCCAGAATAAGCTTCGGATTATATTCATCAAAGTGTGTTTTTGCCATCAATTCCTCTTTCAAGCTTTCTTTCCGCACAATGTGAGTGTGGACTTTCCCTCGCATATTTTTATCAAACTCTGACTGCAGTATCGGTGGAGTGCCGGACTGTAAGGCGGCTTTATTCACTTTGTTTTTCGTGTACTCGATACTGTCCATGGCGGGTAGAACACGCACGTTCACGTCAGATTCATTAGAAGATTCCTTTACGAGGTGAGAATTTGGAGCATTCTCTTTGCTCGTCGAACGTGTGAGAGATTCTATCTTTTCTTTGTCGAAACTGAACACAGTGTCAGAAGAACGACGTCTTTGATAGCTATGCATTTTTGCCGCTCTACTACTTTCGATTTCTGTATCGAGGCCAGCTATTTTCTCGGGCCATATGTGTGTAGTTTGTGGATGCATTTCCTCCTCCTCAGTAGATATTTCATCTACTTTCTTAGGAGGACTTATGTCTGAATAGTGAGCGTACGAGTCCAATTCCACATTTTGCAAACTAGCAGAATGCATCGGACTTGGTTCCTTATGCTTGGTGTTGCTGGGAAACGTCGAGTACGGAGTAGGTATGTGATAGTAATTAGGCGAGTTAATGAGATTAGCTATCAAATCCTCGTGCGACTTATCAAATAAGGTTCTAACATTTTCACCGTACTCGGGTTTCTCCATGCCTATGAACGTAGACTGCGTGTCATAGAAATCTTTAGCAGAATCGGGACTAGAAGACGGCGATATCGGCTCGAACGGATCGATGTACGCGTTCTGGACACTCGTAATGCTACGCCGACGCAGCCCTATCTCGTCGGGTTCGTATAAATTCTTTTTACAATCGTAGTAATCCGATTTCGAGTCTTGACTCGACGTCCTCGAGCCGGAGCGGTCGGAGCTCTTACTTTTGAGCGTTTCGCGAGATTTCTTACTGTCCGTATGGTACACGCTGTCGCGAGATTTCTTGCTGGATTCCGCGCTGCTCTTCGATAACTTCGAATCGTAAATTTCGCTCCTCGACTCCTGGCTGGACGTCCGCGAGCCGAGCGCTCGCTTGATCTCCTTGTAGAAGCTGCCGTCGGAGCGGACCGAGAGCTTCTCGCGCGGCAACACGCGCGGGTCGTCGATGAGGAACGGGTCGAGCGGCAGGTCGTCGTCGCTCCGGTACTTACCCACGCCGGCGTCCGGCTCGGGCTCGCGGTCGTCGCACTCGGACAGGTGCGACAGCGAGCGGTCGTCGTCGGACGGCAGGTCGTTGCCCGAGTCCAGCGAGCACGAGCGCGTGCGCAGCGCGTCGGAGCGCGGCCGCACGCGCGCGTAGCGGCGGTGCTCGGACTCGTCGTCCGAGCGCTCGATGACCTCGTAGCTGTCGTGCGAGACGTCGTCCTGCGAGCCGGCGCGCGGGAAGGCGGGCTGCTCGGGCCGCGGCTCGCCGCCGGCGCCGGGGAACGAGGACGAGTAGGCGCGGCCGATGAGCTCGCGCTGCGAGTCGAGCGAGCCGCGGCCGAAGGCGAAGGCGAGCAGGCGCGCGTCGTCGTAGCGCGTGACGGGCGAGTCGACGCGGCGCGTGGCGTGGTAGGAGTCGAGCGAGGCGAGCGCGCTGCGCGCGTGCGAGCGCTTGGCGCGGCCGGCGTCGTCGAAGCTGAAGTCGCGCAGGTTGCGGCAGGAGGCGCTGCGGCGGCGCGGCGGCGGGCCCGCGGAGCCGTCCTCGGCGGCGAGCGAGCCGCCGGAGCGCGAGGAGCGCGCGGAGGGGCAGGCGGAGTACATGTTGGTCTGCGAGAGCTCGTACTCGAGGCGCTCGGAGGACTCGCGGAAGCTGGAGCGCTGCTTGGGCAGCACGAAGTCGGGGTAGGCGCTAGAGGGCGCGGCGGGCGCGGCAGGGCGCGTGGCAGCGGGCGCGGCAGGGCGCGCGCGGCAGGGAGAGGCTGTGGGGCTCTGACCTGGCGGCGGGCGGGGGCGCGGGGCACGCGGCGGCGGAGTGGGCGCGCGCGCGCGGCCACTCGCGACCGAACTCCGCAGGTTCCATGTATTCTCCGGAGAACCCTGGAATGATTTAAAAACGACCGTTTCATGTAACTGAATTCATTGATTTCAAATCGTTATAAAAAGCTCTTAAAACAAACTGATAAGCTTTTCGTCGTTTTTGCACAACGCCTTTTTATTTTTATATAAAAATTACGCATGACTATCCGCTATGACAGATTTATGAGGTTATAATTTTTCACATTTAAATTGCAATATTATAACTCACCGATGGTGTCGTCATCTGATGAGGCGGAGGCGAATCCGCCGTAGGACGATGGTTGACCTCGACACGGGTCACCAGCTCGGGAGCACCCTGCGGAAGGTCACGCGTCAGTCACTGCGGCGGTTGCCATGGCGACACAGAGGGCGGTGCGCGTCACGTGCGGTGATGTGCTCGTACAACATTTATACAGAGGTGCTAATGACGATGCTCATTTGTTGTCGCTTAAGAGTAGGCGCACACTGTTGATTTTTAGTTGGCCGATAGTTGTGCCCGATTTTGAATTGTATGAAGAATAGGGATGTTTCCTGGGTCAAAAAGCAAGAGTTTTAATTAGTCCGTCAGTTAACTTATCAAAAAATACTCTACACGTATTTTTCACTTTTTCAAACTAATGAAAATTTAAAGAGATAAAGCGCGCCAAAGTTCATAAGTAGAGGCCCGTGACGTCAATGCGTGCATAAAAGTGCCGCACGTTGTGACGTCGTGCGGAACTGCAACGCACCATAACTATGTAATTATTTGTTAGATTGACAAATAAAAATATATGTGTCCAATATTTTTTTAAATTAAACATGACGGACTAAAAAAATTTTTTTTGGAAACTAGCCTATCGGCCAAATCGAATCTGCATAGTGTGCGCACTCCCATTAATGCCCATACTGATCAACTGCCCGACTAAACTATCGGCCGACGAAAAATCAACGGTGTGCGCCTTACACGACTAATGTAACAATGTACGATCGACTTTAGGATGTAATGAAAATCCAATCTTACATTACACTCGAACACACTCGATGAAGGAGCACCTTTAACACCTAGCGTGAAACTACGAAAATAAGACTACCCAAAATAATGAGCGCTTAATTGGCACTAAATAATTATAACTATTTTAAATGCGCGGCAAAACCAACACCAACCAATAAAATAGAATCTTGTCTCTATGTCTACGATATGAATCGTCATTGGCACCTCAATAGATAGAAAAAATAAGTAATGTATTAGAAAATTTAATGTGGCATTTTCATCACTTGTGGAATAAAATTTTAGAAAAGTGTTTCCATGGACGTGATCGTTAATGGCCCCATGAACCGTGTTTCACCCGAAAAATGTTGCACAATCAAATATTTTGAAGTAGTTACCAATACCTGTTGACAATATTTTGGTATCATCAGTAATCAAATACAGTCGTGGTCAACTAATTAGGGACAGATAGAATACTAAGCAATACTAAGTGTTCATATCCTATTATTGTGAGCTTCATTCAATATTACTGGCTGTTACTTTGTAAACATATTCACTATCAAGTACTCTATTTAACAGTACACAATAACAACAAAAAAACTTACTAACTTAATAAAAAATCTTAATCAAATCACATGAATCGGTAATTATGGTACGGACGGTCTGGCCACCTAATTAGGGACGGTTAAGTTTTTCCTTCTAAATTAAAAAAATAAAAAGTAATAACTTTTATTCTGTTCATTTGTAATTTCGGCGTCAATTTGAAAAGCGATATTCTTATCTTGCGAGTTAAAAACTCATCAAATTATTAAAGGTAATGGACTGAAAGAAAAGCAACAATGCGCTAAGTTATAAACAATCTTTATCAGTGTGGATGGCCATACCGGTAAATTGCAGATCATCTGAAATGTTCCAAAAACATGAATCTACGATGCAGTGGCTTATTTCAAAATCATGAAACCACAGAAAGTATGCCTAGAAGGAAGAGGCCAATAAAAACAACCCCACAAGATGGATCGCAGAATGGTCACTCTCGCAAAGAGAGACCCCTTTAAGGGTTTCGTTCTGATCAAGAGCGAGATTTTTGGACCAGAACCGACTGCTGGAGTATCTGCGAGGACCGTCGGAAGGCGACTGGTGGAGGCAAAGCTTGTAGGAAGAGTTCCTCGAAAAGTTCCACTACTAAAGATGGAACACAAAGAAGCAAGATTGGCGTTTGCAAGAAAGATAGGCATTAGGCTTTTGCTCAATGGATAAATGTGCTGTTTTCTGATGAAATCAAGATAAATCTTATTTCATCCGATGACAGATAATACGTGCGACGACCTGTAAAGTCCGAAATGATACCAAAGTAAACGAAGAAGCAGGTGAAACATACAGGTGGCAAAATAAAAATCTGGGACTGTTTTTCTGGACATAGAGTGTAACCTATAAAAAGAACTGAAGTTAAACTTGAGCAATTCCAATACAAATAAATATTGGAGAAAACGATGCTATCGTATGCTGAAGGATTCTTACCAGTCTCATGAACATTTCAACACGATAACGACCCAAAACATACCGCGTACTCTGTTTAATAATTCCTAGCGCAACAGTCAGTGACGGTACTAGATTGGCCCGAAAACAACTCAGACTTAAGCCCTATAGAGCTTATGGTATGAAACGAAGGAAAAAGTTGCAGCTCAACGTACTGGCACTAAAAATCAGCATTTCGTGGCATTTAATGGTATTTGGAATAATATTTCTTTAGAAACCTGTAATGATTTGATTGCATCCATGCCGCGCCGATGTCAAATGGTTATAACCAACAAAACCAACCATATTGGTTATAAAAATACGTTTGATGATTTTGTTTTGTATTCTATATTTATTAATGAAAACTTTTTATGTAATAAACACTTAAATAATTTCCAATTTATTTACATTTACAGTGAAAGTGTTACGTGTCCCTAATTAGTTGTCCATCCCTATGTCAATAAATGTGTAGGTGGCAATGATTTATTTATTTTAAAAATATCGATAGCAACTAGCTAGTTTCTTTTCTGGCCTTTAAATATTTAGATTACTAGCCAAATTACTTGTTATTAATAATCACAAGCTACAAAGCCTCGTGAAGATTTTTTTTTTGGGACTGGAGAGACGGTCTTGTGTTTTAGTCATATAACGTCCCTAATTAGTTGACCACGACTGTATATTTTCTAAGCTCAGTGTGTCCTTACAAAAAATGAAAGAAAATATGCAACGCCAACGAGCAACTAATTTCTATCGGTCCCATGAATACATTCTTTTTTTTTCATAATTAATCTTTTCAATCAATATTTGCTCGTCAGGTAGCGGAACCATCACCTTTAAATTGGTCTATGACAAACTTTCGTCACTATTTTCTGTAAGGACATACGTTACACTTTTGATTGGGCAACATTAAATAAGGGAAAGATTGTTAGGACAGAAATGAGCACCGATGGAGTTTAGAGACGAGAGAAAAAAGACAATATATTCGGCGCCTTACGATTTGGCTGCAGTACAGCTTTGACAGCTGAAAGAAACAAATAAAAACAGATGCTATTGTCAAGTGCTTGGAAATAAATTGCTAAGCTTTGGCTAGAGTGAAGAGTCATTATGTAGGTCTACATAGTGTGAGCTCTCTACAATTTATCAGACTAAAGATATAGGTACAGTCTGTTTCCGTATTTTTCTTTTATCACAAATGATAATCATAATATTATGAAGACATATTATATTTGACTCATACTAAAGAGTACATTTAGGTGGTATTACATACTCATACAAACATAAAAATAATGCTAATTTTGAGAACACATATTTTCACATTACTAACATTAAATACTATGTAGCTAGATCAAACTAATATTACACAGTAAATAAGTTATCACAGACATCTTACTAATAGATTTTGCTCTAGTCCGCTATCGACCGTTAAGTGATAGCGTTAAAAATAAGCATACACATACCTTGTCCCTCGTGGTGGCATAGGCGGTAGCTGCGAGAGGCGGGCGAGTCGCGCCCTCCGAGGTGCGTCGCTGGGCCGCCCTCTCCGCCGCCGCGCGCGCTTCCTCCGCGCTGTATCCCTTCATCATCAGAGAGGCCTCCAGGTAGTGAGGCTGCTTGTCCCACTCCAGGGAAATCGCTGGACAAACGATTTTAAGTTACCATTTTGAAGCGTAGGGACGCCAATCAATTGATGGTTAATTCCCCGCAGACTACAGACTTCTATCGGCTGATAGTTTGGTCGGCTTCTAATTTGTATGGGGAACCGGCCGATACCAAAATCAGTGTAATGTGCGTACTTTCACAAGACAAAAATCTGTAATTTGCTTTGACTCGGACAGCCTCTACTAACCTAAGCTTTGTTGCAAAAATCAAAATTCAATTGGGATCTTATAAAAGCACGGGTTTGACGCAATTCGTTCCATTCGTATTAATTTGTCCGCGCAGATGCAAGTGGTCCGATTACCATTCGGTCTCATTCGCAAATGGTCAACAGGTAAGTCAAAATGTTACAATTACAACTACATTTATCTGAGAGTGGGGGACCACTTTAGTCATCATAACCTTACAACAGTTCAATTTGCAGGTCAAAAATGTAACAACTAATGCTGGATTTTCTATATTCAATCCTAATCCAAATTGGACGGATTTGGATTGTCAACTGTCAAATTTTAATATGTTTTTGGCCAAAATATCTGCGGTTTTTGATATTTTTACATTTTTATATTGTTTATAAGACTATTTAAACAATTTTAAAGTGTAAATGCATCGAACATTTTGGAAATCTATATATATAAAAGAAAGTCGTGTTAGTTACTCCACTTATAACTCAAGAACGGCTGAACCGATTTAGCTGAAAATTGTCAGGGATGTAGTTTAGAGTCAGGAGAAGGACATAGGATACTTTTTTAAAAAAAATCTGCTTTTTTAGTGCCATTAAGGCGGAACAAAGTTCGCCGGGTCAGCTAGTATAATCTAAAACTGAATTCAATTTGACAGTTGTGATCCGGATTTGGACAAGGATTGAATATAGGAAACGGGCGTAAATGTATCTGGATGGGGGACTAAAGGTATCTTTTATGGAACCGCGAATGTTCATAGGACGAACTGCGTCAAACCCCACAGCACAAGCTAGCCAGCGGTACGTACCGTCGGAGCCCGGCGGCAGCGGCAGCAGCGGGTGCGCCGACACGCTGGTGTTCAGCGGCGGCGGCGCCACGGACGCGCGCGAGCCGCCCGCCGAGCGCGACGCGCGGAACGACCCCGCCCTGCCGACATCGGGCAGAGGATGGTGACACCAGCTTTTGGTTAGCCTAACCGTGAGCAAGCCCGACTATACTAACTCCCGGACGGGTAAACGCAACGTTCTAGACGCCCGATCGGATTTCTAGGACAAGTCACACCTGCATTATGGGTAGACTTTATGAGTATGACCATTGGCCCTTTTATGCATGTTTGGCCGGGTCTGACGCAGAATATGCACTTCGCAAAATGCGCATTTTTCTATATTATTATAATACATACACTTCAGCCTCTAAATTATTGAGAAAAGTGCGCATTTAGCGATATGCACATGTGTTGGACTTTTGCTAGTAATCCGTCCGATCGCGTGAACCTTTCCTTTGCATCCCACTTATGACTGTGTTGTCGTCCACAATTCCAATCCAAAAGCGATTCTTGATTTCTGTTATACAGGAACTTCGGTACAGGCCAACTTACATTATGAATTCAATGGGATGATAAATAAGTATGTAGGATGCATTGAAAAAGTCACAACAGTATAAAGTTGACGTCTATCTGTAAATGCCTCTCCCTGAGGCGCTATTCAAAACGCCGAGTGTAAATCCGTTTTACGTTATTGTTTTAAATATGACGAATTTATTTATTCACGTATTTATAAGAGCGAAAGGTTTCGCGATACCTTTATAATATTTAAATTGCGCATGAAATTAGAGTGCCTTCCGGTGAAAAGGAAATATACAATACAATATTAATTTACACTCAGCATTCAAAAGAGCGCTCTGACATTTGATACCCCAAGAAGAAAATGTTTCGGGCCTGCGCACTAACATAAATAGGTTGTGATGTTTGACCAGACATTGCTCGGGCCTGCACTCCGTTCGATACTTTTTGAATTAATACAAAAAGACAATAGATCCTGCGCTTCGACCAATTTTATTTTCTGCCATTGAAACCCGAAGCAGCGTTTTTACTGTCTAATGGATGTGCTTGTGCTATCCCTTAGATCAAAATAAAGTATTACATACTTTGGTGGGTTATCAGAAAGAAAACCAACCGGGCCTGCGCTATTCAATTTCATTTCCCAATAATCAACAGGTCTTGGGCCATACTCTTTATATTTTAAATCATTCAAAATTCTTGTATCTATGGTGTTCGTGGCCTATAAACAAACCACCAGCTAAGCCACAAGTAACTGACGTAGTTATTGTCTGATAACATAATCAAACGAAGGTGACACGTCGACTGTGACATTGAGTCGTCGCAATAAAACCCAAAATAAAAAATAAATTACTACATTTCGAATGTTAAACTTCGTCACGTTTACATAACGTTCACGTTACATACACGCAACTTTAACTTCTGAAATAAACAAAATCGAGCCCACATCGTGTGCACATTTTTACAAATTGAGAGTAGACAAAAATCTAATGGGGCATTCAGACAACTCGACACAATGTGCAGTGCAGGAAGGGTTACATTTATTTTACAAAAAAAAACTTTTTTATTAAAATATCACCGGAGTCTATACACACATAGGTGGTTTCAAAAGTGCTTGTGAATCTATAAAAAAGTGACGGAGAGCTATGTGAAACTCGTTGCTTCGACAAGCGCGATACAATCGCTAGATAGGTAGAAGTTAATGTCGGTAACGGATAACAGTGGAGCGCAGACCCAGAGTTAAAAAAATCCCTAAAATTGACCGAGCACACCATCCTCCGACCGATTGTCACAGCCGCCGCCACGACCGTGGTAACTTGGAAGAAGCGAAGTCTCAACGGATACAGCGCATGCTCGAGAATGCTAGTCACCATCGATATACAAACTATTCGAAGCCTCACTAACCAGTTGAGATTAGTCGTTTTTAGGGACTTTTTACGTTACATCATGCAAGAGTTGGCCGGCGTCGCGTAACGGTTACTCCCACACAAACGCCCACGAGACAAAACCAAAAGCTAGTGTCCCCAGCCCATGCTAACCACTCACCATACTTTTACAGACATCCTATGTTTCGCAAAATATAAATATCCCTTCACTGACTTAGGACTACGTGTGTTCACGATAACTTGCGGACAATGGATGTGTGGACAGATCAGGATATTTCTTGTCTGTTTAAATAAAATAATTTTCTAAAAAAACTGAATGTTTGTGTTAATATTCGAACAGATTTTTTTTTATGTCCGATAACTCAACGTTTTCGGAGCTAAATTTTGACAGGTATCATCATTGCAGTTTAGCGAAAAACTGCTAGGGTGCCTTTGACGGTCCCAATCGGTTAGACTGGGTAATTCTGTCTTTCTTAACAGCGTACTTATTACATACACATTTAAAGCATCAGACTTGATTACCCAGTGTCTACATTCCTATATCACATTTATGTCACATTTCAGCTACACAGAGGTCTACAATACGTCTACAAGCGGCTATCTACACTATGATAATGAGGGCTATATCGCTACGTAAGCTGTCTGTCATGCAACGTGGGGCTATGCGTGGGGCGTGCGTGACGTACCTTTGGAATGTTTGCCGTTTCACGTAGTTGTCTCGCACGAACTCTACGATTTGTTTCTGCGTTTTGCCGCTATACCTGTACAAAATGTTAACCAGTTAGGGCCTTATTACACAAAAAAGTTGAATGCGTATTGATCACTTATTGTGTTCAAACGACATTTCCATATTAAATGTCAATTAATAAAACAAGTGGTCAATGCGCGTTTAACTGTTTGTAATAAGGCCCTTATTATTTTACTATTCTAAAATGGTAAAAGGTTGTCCTGTCAACTGAATATATTTTAATAGCAAAAATAAACCATTCTACCAAATTATGGTGTAATTCAAAGGCTAATGTAGAACATCGCGCTACTAATATACACTGTCGTTTCTCCAAGAATGTAAATAAATAAATTCGGTTTGTTCTGCACAGCATACCTAAATGAGGATCCCCTAGATATGACCCTGGTTTTATGCCTCGGCAGGCGGGGCACGCTGGTACACCGGAAGAAACCGTGGTTCTCGACGCATTTCTTCCAGAAGTTCTTGCATTCGTTGCGACCTTCGAAGAAGAATTCCACCACGTCTCTGTACGCTCCCTAGAAAATAAAATAAATGGAGTGAATTTTCAAGTCTACCTATTGGAGTTCATATAAATAATTTTGGTCCAGGGTCGAAAAGTAAAATGCAATTCTAATCTCCGATGGATTAGACAGGGGTGGCCAACTTGATTAGACATAAGATCTACTGTTTACTAACGAAACCCTGGGCTATCTACCACTACATACTTCTTGAATTCTTAAAAGAAACACCATAGTTTAGTACTCAATCATGTACCTAGTATTTTTTGCCTTGCCACGATCGACTGGACTAATAATCGCGATAGACCGGTTGGCCACCCCTGGATTAGAACAATACATTACTCACTTCGAGGTAACCTACGAGAAAGTTAGCCGAGGTTCGAAGCGCGTATCTATAAATTCCCAATACACTATTCTGGTTTCTACACAATCGTATTCGGTCAAGGTTGATCAACTTCGCAAGTAGTGTATCCGAGCTGATGGTTCAAAATCTATTGAGAAAATTTGACATGATGTCTTCCAATTCCTATGAGAATGCGCATTAATCATGTATTGTTATTCTAGACACCAAAGTCTACTCACATATCCCTCCGGATGCAACTTGATGAGGAACTTTTTCCTCTTGAAGGATATCTTCCTGATCTTGGCCCAGCTGAAGGTGTTGATTTTCGTGAAGTTCTGGAACACCACGATGCCCATATGCGCGACAGCCAGGTTCAAGGGCACGTTGTCGTGGTCTTTGGCCGGGTGCATTTTGACGCCTGCATAAGTAAATATCAGAATGATATACAAACATTAAAAACAATAAAAATTAGTAGTGACTAGGCATGGAACATTTCATGAATTAGCAGGTGAAAAATCATGTGAAATGAATTTCATTAATCACACCTGCTATTTTACTTCACATAGACTGCTATAATTTCACAGTCAATGAAATCACGAATCACATGAATTTCATTCATTCATTCGAGCGAAGTCCGTGAGCGCAGCTCTGCGAAGCGACCGAGCGAGTAAGAAGGAATGATTTGATCATGTGCGTGTTAGAAAAGGACAAGAGATGTGATGACGGACGAAACTGGGCATTTTAAATATGAACTTTAAACTCAAAGGTATAAGGTTTAGATTTCCTTGTCGTGGTTCGTATGATTTCATTAGATAGCAGACAGATGAAATTAATGATTTTTCACTAGTCGCGCGGTTATTGATTATTGCATACATACTGTTCTGTGAAACTGTTTGTTTTTTGCAATGGTTTTTTGTTGTGTGACATAAAATGAAACAGATATTGTTACGTTTCATATTTTAGCTAATTAGCAATCGTTCATCATAATTCATACTTAATTATAAATAGCACATTATATGAAAGAGCTACATTATAACACTGCGAATAAAAATCATTGCCTGTGAAATTTCGCATGTGAAATCATATGAAAAAGAATCATCATTTCATATAATGAAAATGAATGAAAAATAGCAATCATTTCCATGCCTAGTAGTGACTCGCTGGTAGCTCGCGCTTATTGCATATATTGTAGACTAGCTGACCCGGCGAACTTTGTTCCGCCTTAATGGCAATAAATAAGCAGACTTTTTTTTATTTCGAACGGGATAAAAAGTATCCTATGTCCTTCTCCTGGCTCTAAACTACCTCCCTGACAATTTTCAGCTAAATCAGTTCAGCCGTTCTTGAGTTATAAGTGGAGTAACTAACACGACTAAAGTGACCGAGTTTCTTTTTATCTTTATCTGAGCAAAAGCCGATGTCGATTGTCCCAAATTGAAGTAGGGTAAGCTATTTTTGGGATATTCTCTAAAAAGGGTCACCAGTTCTCCAACGCGCAGAAACTCTTCCGCATTTAAACAGGTTGACAAATTAAAAGATTAGGTACTACTGTATTTTGCTTATTCACGAACACCATGCATATTGTTTACATACCATATAACTCGCATCTTCGTGCTGTCTCCAACAAATTCAAGTCCGCTTCCGCTGGACTTTGACCCCTGTACAACAAAAAAAAAAACAAATAAGTCAATGAGTACAGTAATTTACCCAGCATTCTTTAAAATTCAAATTATTTATATGCAACTTTAAAAGCTGTTTGAAAAAAGCCTCTAAAGGACTGGCCTGATAAAAATGACTGAGTTTCTTCCGCCACTTCTTCTCAGCACCAGCCCATATTATGTTGTCGCGAAGTGGTGGTAGGGCAAGCTTATTGGGACATGTAATATGTACTGAATAAAATATTTGGATTTGAATTTGAAATAATAATTATTTTATTACTCACGTGTGTTTCTTGTGGTTCTCCATTATCCGGCGCTCGGACTCCGAGTCCTGCCCGGGGAAGAACTTGTACCCGCTCAGGTACGTGTGGTCCGGGTAGTCCTCCGGGACGAAGTCGCCGCACTCCGCTGCCGGATAACGGTGGGATGATTGTTATTTTGAATCTTATTTTATCGCACTAAAGTTCAAAATGTGGCGGCATCAATTCTGCCACTTGAACAAAGGCTTAGCCTAGGCGCAGACTACCTGTACTTTTAGTTGGCCGATAGTTGGGCCCGATTTTAATTTGTATGAAGAATCGGCCGATACCAAATCGGTGTAATGTGCGCACTTTCATACATCTCCATTCTGCATAAAATCAGTGGTCTGCGCCTAGGCTTAGTAAAGATTGACAGGTAAAGTGGAAACTACGCGGGAAATAGTAGTCACCTCGCTAAACTTTAAAATATGAAACCACCAGGCAACAGTTTAGTGATAAAGATTGATGGGTAAAGTGTTGCTTCCTTCCAAAACTTGCTGTGCCCTAACTGGGTACATTTTTATAACTGCCCGAATTTTAAGACCTAATGTGAATGCGCTAACTAGGTAAAGAAATTGAGTATTGAGTCAAGTAAAAATCTTTTTTTTTTTCCTTTTGTAGCAACTACAACGGGAAAATGTTAGACGGGAACAACTTGTATCAGCTCAGCTAGGTGTAGTCCGGATAGTCCTCCGGGACGAAGTCACCGCACTCAGTTATTTCAGTACGGATTACAAAGTGATAGAGGTTGATCGGTAAAGTGGAAACGGTATGCGGAAATAAGTAGTAATTTTGAAAACCATATTAATTTGAACTAAATAGATTGTTAAGTTTCTCAACAAATTGGATTTACTTTTGATTGTGTAATTCTAATCTTGCCTTTTGTTTTGGCTTCTTGTGTAAAAATAAAAGCGTCAAATAAAAGAATTTTCTTTCCTTCTAGTTAGCTATTTATTTATTATTTGTGACAAGACGAATAAGCTTATTTGAGATGATAATGTTTACTTTGTAATGTGTCACTATTTCACTACATCGAATAATTTGAAACGGCAAACAACAGAAACAATATCCCAGCCTAACACCCCAAAACAATCGTTCACAAGCCAGTTATGCGGGCACTTACAGGGGAGTCCGTTGGGACCCCACTCCGTTATGAATGGTCCGTTAGATATTTACGCGCGCCTGCAGTGATCCAGTTAATAAAGTTTGCTTAGAAAGGTCAAGGTGTGACGTGATGCAATATTGCTTGTTCTAGATCTTCAAAGGCTGGAATAGGCACTCAGGTAACATAAGACTACATTTATTCTTAACATTAGCTGGCTATAGTGGAATACAAAGGGTTTCATAAGAGTTTTAACGTGGACTTGACTCACTTAGAACTTCGAAAGATCAATACTTTAAACAAACTTTATACAGTCAAATGCTATGTAAAATTAAGATCTGAGATGGGAGTCTCAAGGATATAAGCTATTTTGACAAATGCATTACTGAAAATAATAATAAACATTGATTCTGTATGAGAGAAATGGGATGGCAAAAACCTGATCATCCATAATCTACTCAAACTATCTAAACCATTTTTTTTTTCTCTTTTTGGAACAACAAATCTACTTTCTATATTCAAATACAAATTCAAAATCCTAATAATAACACAGACGTGTCGTTAGAACCCTTTGTTAGGTGTCACGTTTCGAAATTGCATATCGTCTGAGCGTGGCTGTTTATTCAATTCGCTTGATACGCTGAATTACCGGCACATAATACATCTCCGTGTATTAGGGTTCCTACACACATAAGCGGGCAGACATAGTCGGTGTGGCAGTATTTGTTGAACAAAAAAGTCGACCCGGCTAAATTAACGGACACATTGGCTAGGTGTTTGTGAGGATTTCTGGTGTGAGTTTCACCCTCCAACTGCCGAAACACAACAATGCTCGTAACATTGTTGCTATGACGACAGAATTAAGTAAGATGGTGGTAGCTAACTAGACGGACTAACAAAGCTCTACCAACAATGAGCAGAAAATTTTGCCTGCACTGGGAATCAAAAACAAGATCTCTGAGTCTGAAGCAGATGGTCTTACATTAGACTACAGTGGTGATTGCGACACTTGTTCGGATACATTGGCTATTGTAAATGTGCGGCCAAGTCCAACTACATTATATTCGATTTCAACGCCCAGCTGTGCTCATTAAGGTCGACCCGCTTATATGTGTAGCAACCCTTACGACTTGGTAGCGTTGTCACGTGGACGTCATTTGTTTTCTTCAATGGGATAGCTTCATGTCTGCGGTTAGCAAGATTATTTGTCTCGTTTTTTTTACTACGCTTTTGCAAACATATTCAAGACTAAAATAAATTTAACAATTAAATTAGAAGCAGAAAAAAATATATTTGAACGTTACACATTGCCCAAAATGACAATTTCTTGACGATTAGAGATGGTCTAATAATCTAAAATAATAATAAAGGAAACAAACAATCTTAGCGTAAGCCGTATGACAAATTAAACAATTACATTTCTTTCTTGTCATCTGAACTTGATAACAGGCTGATAACTTGACATTGTTTGCTGTTAAAACATAAACCACCTTGAGAACCTCCTCCATTTTTAAAGTTGGCTAAATATAAACTCACCCTGCACGATATAGCTGGCCATGAGCGCGGCGGTATTCTCGTTGCACTGGATGCAGCCTTGCGCGAGATCACGCTTCACCTGCGAGGGAAACAGAGTAGATTATTGATTTATAACACACATTTAGTTCAATTTGAGGGAATGTAATACATATTTTGATGACTATTCGCCCTTAGGCAAAACACCAGTTGAAATAAGGCTCATAAATGGTCCAAGTTCACGGTCAAAATGTTAGGACGCTAAAGCTAAGCATATTTAGGACGTGCAGGTCAACAAGGGAGGTCCACACAGCTTAAGACCGCAGTCTGTGGAGGAACACTATTATGTGGTCGCGATCCTCATCAGTGAGGGACCGAGGAAGCAGAAGAAGGTTAACAAGTGCCTCTAAAGGACTTACTACTTACTAATCATCATCGCGTCATGAAGTTTCCGCTGTAGGAACACGAATCTCCAGTTTATCAGATGCTAATAGACGTTTTGATATTTGACCTATACTCCTGTTTCCACGCTCTGGCGGGGTCGGGTGTGTAGAACTTGACGCAGAAGCGGAGCGTCGGCTCCTCACTCCAGCCAGTACTGAACACAATGTCAGGGAGTGACCGGCTCACCTGCAGGCAGAACAGGTAGCGCGTGAACTCCTCCAGGCTCCAGCACCGTCAGCCCCAGCTGTGGTACATCGGCTCCTCACCAGCCAGTACTGAACACAATGTATCTCACTGAGAGTGACTCGACTCACCTGCAGGCAGAACAGGTAGCGCGTGAACTCCTCCAAGCCCCAGCATCGTCAGCCCAGCTGCGGCACATCGGCTCTTCACCAGCCAGTACTGAACACAATGTCAGCGAGAGTGACTGGCTCACCTGCAGGCAGAACAGGTAGCGCGTGAACTCCTCCAAGCTCCAGCATCGTCAGCCCCAGCTGCCGGCAAATCGGCTTCTCACCAGCCAGTACTGAACACAATGTCAGCGAGTGACTCGGCTCAGCTGCAGGCAGAACAGGTAGCACGTGAACTCCTCCAGGCTCCAGCATCGTCAGCCCCAGCTGCGGCACATCGGCTCCTCACCAGCCAGTACTGAACACAATGTCAGCGAGAGACTCGACTCACCTGCAGGCAGAACAGGTAGCGCGTGAACTCCTCCTCCAGGCGCGCAGGGTCGGGCGTGTAGAACTTGACGCAGAAGCGGAGCGTCGGCTCCAGCATCGTCAGGCCTAGCTGCCGGCACATCGGCTTCTCCACGTCCAGCCAGTACTGCGAATGTTTCACGATGAGATTGACTTGACAAATAATCTCAATGAGAATGAGACTCCACAAATAAAGCTTACTTTAGCCCAGGGCTTCTATTTGGGGAACTTGCTCTTTTTTCTCAGAAAGTGACGGTAGGGCAAGCTATATTAGGATATGTTTAAGTAACTAGTATAATGTAAGGAGTAAAAAAATTAATAACATTATTTTAGTAACTGAATAATTATGTACTTGCACTCACAGGGAGGTCTATAACCAAACATACAGGCAATTAAGCATACGGAATCAGATCTTTCACTGGCAATTACAGAAACTCACCCTGGTGTTGTTGGTGTCCTGGTACTCCAGGCCGAAGTAGTCCGCCTCGAGCAGGTGCAACTGTCGACAGACCTGCTCGAACAGCACTCGCCCCAGCGCTTTCGACTGCAACAATGAAAGAATGGCCCGTGAGTTAAATGCCATACCTCGCGACTGACGTGTCAATGGCACGCAAGCGACAAATGTCGAGCTACTGACACGTCAATGGCCGGTTAGAGCTTCTTGTTTTACAGTTATTTGACTTAACGGGTAGAAAATGTTAGGATGATGGGTATGGAGACTCAAGAGCATCTCGCGGCTAAGCACCTTCGACTGCAACAAAGCATGACAATGGCACGTGAACGACAAGTGGCCATTCGGCTGACATGACAATAGCCGCGTCGAGTGTGTAACGATACAGGTTAGAGCTCTCGATTTTGTTCTACGGATGCCTGTTTGACTGAACAGGTTAAGATGGGTATTAGGCCTGTAAAAGTTTAATGACTACCATTTCCTATGTAAATTAATTAAATGATAGTTCTATGATATGTAAGATGTGGCTGAAATGAAGACATGACATTTGAGGAGGGAGTACAACGAAATGTAGATGTTACAGGAAATGTATGAAATCCGTCATTGTATACAATTCCTAGGATTTGTGTATAAGTCCTAAAATCACCCGGAAATGTGTGATGTAAATTATATTAGACACATTGCCTAGGAAATTTACACATTTCCTAAACAGCAATCGGAAATGTAATTAAGATTTCTTTTTTTTCTCCGAAACTTAAAGGCGCTACATGCCGCGCCGCGGCCGCTGTGTATGTGTAAGGTCGCAAGTCTAACCTAACCTAACCGAGACTTTGTTATCCAGCTACAGGAGTACTAAAACCTTCATGCCAATAATAGTTTAATAAAAGAGATGTTAAAATTAGGGTTTTCCAATACTTCAGCGTAATATGCGTGATGCCGAAAGAAAGGTATGCCAATAGGCAAATATTTTTTTCAGCCAAAGTATATTTATTTATTTTATTTAAAATCTTTATTGCACACATAAAAAACAGTGGTACAACAGGCGAGCTTAATGCCATGTGGCATTCTCTTCCAGCTAACCAGAAAATTAGACAAAACAGAGAATTTAAGTAGGCGGTGCAAAATAGTACAAATACAAAAAAACTAATAATAAAAAAGTATAATAGTGCGAAAACAACTTTCAGGCTAAACAATATAGTTGTGAGTTAAAAGTATCTATCGGCCAATGTGGTTTGGCTTATGGAAATTTTAGGCGTACTGAGGGGCACCCGATCACACGACCGCGCTTGTGCCGCTTAGTTTTATACATTTCCTAATACAATATTGGAATTCTATAAAATTCCTAGGAAAAGTATACATGTCCTAGGATATGTGCGTATTAAAAAATCTCTGAAGCAATATTTTATACATTTCCTAAATAGCTTCGGAATTGTATACATTTCCTAGGAATAGTATACAATTCCTAGAATTCATACATTTCCTGTAACATAGACAAACAGTCATTTGTGTACTTTGAATTGGATGTCTTATGAAAGACTTCTTTGAGGAAAGATGATTGAATAGAAGGTGATATTGAAATTGAGGAAGTATATTATTGTTTATTCGTTTACATCACCATTGCAACCTACAAACAAGGTTACAAGATGAATCAACTGATTTATGAAGCTTGCAAAAGAATTTAGTCCCGATGGACAATAAAAATATTAGATTGTTTGGAATGTCGAAGCATTAGTGGCCTTCAAATTCCAATATGTACTAGGTATGTGCAAGTGGCCCAATTAGACCGATAAAAGTATCTCATTTTCCGAGCCGAGCTCAACAGTAACATTGCATTAAACGAACATTATTTTAACCGGTCACGAAACATCATTTATTTATCGTCGAAGTATCGAAAACCGTTTGTAATTAACAAGAAAGAGCGCTTCGAAACGGTACAACAAATTAGGCGAGCTCTGTAAAGATGAAATGGACTTACAGTGAGCCTGTAAGAGCCACATAGAATAATAATATTACGAAGTGCGTAGTTTCTATAACGTTTTGTTAGACACAGTAGGACTGGGAGCACTAAGGGAGGAAAAGGAGAGAGATTCCTTCAGTGCTAGCCTTTACATCGTATACGGTTAAGTAATGTCTACCGACCATCTCACTCATTCATCATCACCACCGTTTTCATCATCATTTTTCAGTATAACCTTTTGAATGATAAGCTAATGCAAACCATTATTTTTACCAAACAACTTAAACCAATAGACATAATTTCTTATAGTAATATGGTAGAGCAGGCTGTCTCAAATTCCAAGTAATAACGACCGACAGCAATGTAGAACTATTGTATGTAGAAATAGGCCATTGTGTTTCTACTTGCTGCCAATTATGTGTTTATTAACGTACCTTGAAAAATGTAACACTTAAACGTAGAATTAAACTAATTTAATACCAATCAAGCTGTCTTGGTTAAATATACAACACATTAAAAATGTGTGCCAAGAACACATAAAAGGGAATGAAAGAAGAAAAAACTAGATGTAAAAATCTAGTGTTTTACAGAAAGTACAGTCGCGGAATGAAAAGGTTCGTCACCTTAGTGTCGGTTTTCGCTTGCAGTAGGTACTGTAAGAGTCAAACCTGCCAACATAACCGTGCAAGAAACAGTGCTGCTAACATTTAAATAAATATGACGTTTGCTAACGAATAAGGTTTTGCTTGTTTATTTTTCTATCCCATCAGTGCAATGTTACAAAATGTAGTTTTTTTTATTTAATAGATAATGACAGGTTGAACCAACAAGAAGGTTTTAGTTTATCAATGATGATAATCTTCTTGACAAGTTAAATCGTCAAACAGCTTTGATCTGAATAGTTTTGAACTTTACTGACGAACAGTTAAAGATTATTTTCTCTAAGTCGAGATTATTCTGTAACATAGTTTCAAAAGGTAACATGTGCTCGCGATTCGTTGAAGGAATCAATTTGAAAACTGACGAACCTTTTCATTCCGTGACTGTACATTTTCGCTGGAAAATGTATAACGTTTTGAGGAATCAACCATCACCTTCTAATTGTTTTACGAGTATTTTTTCCGTACGATTAAAAATTAAATGCGAAAAAAATACATAATATGAAGTAATAAAACAAGTTAACTAATACTTAGCAACGTTCGTACCAGTATGTAATTGCATGCCGTAATTTAAACTTCTCGTTGGATACTGTGAGAACATAAAGTGCCATTATATGTAACATTTGTCCCTTCAGGGCTCGGGTTGATGGGGACTTTTAATTGCATAATTCACGGCTAGTTAACTAAACTCATTAACTTTCGTCGCGTTAAAATAACATCACGGTGAACAAGCTAGAATTTATCGGTGTAAAGCAAACGTTGCTGTGGTTGGGAGTAGATGGGTGACCATCACGATAAAAGTCAGAAATATGTCATCTTATGCTTCGGAAAACACGGAAGAAGTGTATTGACATTACTCGAAGGTTTAGTAAAATGCATTTTTCAGTTAGAAAGAGATACGAGAGAATTTCTGCATTTTGGCAATTATATTGAAGCTCGTAACGAAATTAAAGTGATATGAAACATACAGAATGGCAGAAACAAATACAAAATGATCAATCCAATCACAACTAACGTTTCAATTTGCTTCCCTATTTAGCGTATCCATTATTCCGCAACAAAACTCGGAATATTGCCCACTCTTTTGTTTTTACGTTGCGCTGAACGAATGCACCGCGATGAGCAAGCCGTTATAAATGGACCACAATACAATTTACTTGTTGAAAGCAATTACGTTTGCATGTGACTGTGAGGCGTCCGTAGCTCAGTGTAAACAAAAAACGAGAGTTTACAACACAAAGAGTTTCCATCGAAGGTCCGTGATGTCACTGCAATGTGATATTGACTTCTTTTAAATTAGATTTGTGCTCTAAGCGCTCCTACACAACAATGTGATGTTTTGTATGTAAGTTGCAAGCTGGCGGTACATCAAGCGTATACTTTAGAGACGCGTGAACAGTAGCACTAACGCTAAAACGAAGAATCTATGAAAAACAAAGCTTTCTCACTGGAGATTGGACTGGATACATTCGAAAATCATTTGATAAAACTTGTCACCCAATTCAAGGCTAGAAAACTGGCTATCAAACACAGGGTTCACATCAAAAAGGTATTGAAAAAATTTGCCAAATCCAGTTTCGAACGATGCAATCATAGTTCATCCTCCACCAGACAGAAGAAGCGTCAGGGTCTCCTGCCTTTGTCACAGCAAGGTAAACGAAATACAGCCTTAACTGTGATGTCATTAAAAATTAAAACACTTGGCAACACTGTCTATTATGTAAACGCACGCGCGAACCCGAGCCTGCATCAGGGCACTGACTCCGCAAATAGGTCAACCACGTAATATCCTTTAAATTGAGCCAAAAACTTTCAACCGCCAGAAACTGAGCTCATTTTATTGAGTTCGCTATTATTTTTATGAAAATGTGATTTATATTTTGCGGTATGAATATATTGGACTGCAAAATTGAAAATAGTTTCATGATAAATGGTTCAGTGTATTACCAAAGTTACTTCAAAATAGCGGAAGATAAAAATCTTAATGCATCCGGTCAGTAAAAATAATGGTTATAGTTACGTTTGTGTTTTAGTTTAAATGTGTTTTCTTTTTTCATGAGGTTACAATGCTGAGTGCAGTCGAAGTCTCAGAAGGAGGAATTCATGTTTATTTTCGGACAATCCTACTTGATTCTCAAGCCCAAATTCTAATCAAACCGTGGAGAGAACTCAATTTACCTGTCCGTCTGTCACTGTCTTCGAACTCTATGATATCATCATATATGTACATGTAAATAAATCGGTAAATCTAGACTAGAACCTGAATTAATAGAGAATAACTGCAGGTCTAACAATCCGCGCGGAGGGGAGCTCGGTCCATTATGAGGATCACTTCAATCGTAACACGTCCGTAATCCCTGCTTCATGCATGTACCGAAGCACATCAAGCTACATTGTTTCATCTTATGTAGTTGTGATACGGGCTATTTTGCAACAAAAATGTATAGCTTGATCTGCTGCCGTCCGTACATGTATAG